CAGTACCTTGACAGTGACAGCAGCCTGGGCCTCGCTTCTTGACAAACACATTCTCTTTTTCCCCCTTTGGCAGATGATACTTTTAATCAGCTGTGGGGAGCTCAAAAGAAATTTAACAAGGGTTTCAAAATGTTCAAATTCACATAAGCACACACAGCAGAATTTAATCACTAAACAAAGACTGCTCATAAAGGAAGCGATGTTGGGGTGGAGACAGATGATATCTAAAATAAAAGAAATAGTCCTTTCTATAACAAGTGGTAAAAATACAATCGGAAAATTCTGTCAGTGTGAATAAGTAGAAAAAATTCAGAGCTCTAAATGTAAAAAAAAGTATTCCAGTGTCGTCCAGAGAGAAAGCACAAAATAACCCTAAAATTCATAGGGAGCCAGAAGAGACCCAGAAGAGCAAAAGCAATTTTGTGCAATAAGAGCAAAGCAGGAGGTTTAGCAGCACCTGACTTCAAGCTACACTACAAAACAAATGTGACAAAACCAGCAACATGCTGGGAAAAGAGGTGGATCAATGGAACAGGACTGAGATACGGAAACCTCCCCAGACATATTCAACTGTTTGATCTTTGACTGTTCCATCTCATGGCCTTTGTCCTGCTTGTCAGCCTCTCGGGGAAGAGTCTCTGGACATCCATATAAAAGGGCCTCCGCTTCCAGTGCTCGCTCCCTAACTTCTTAAGTGGTTATCATCAGAGTTTAGAATTCATGTGCACCCAGAGTTAGATGGTGCCCAGGTTGTGAGCCTTTGGTGTACAGCCTGGGCACAGTTACAGCCAAACCCCAAGATTTATCAGCAAGCCTGAAAGACAGTGGTAGGAAGGACTGGCTTTGGGACTTGGCACTACGATGTACCTACTCTGTGACCTTGCGTAAGTCATTTGATATCCTTGAGGCTGCTTCTGTACTACAGAGTCAATTGTCTGTCACTTCAGGGTTGTTACCAGCTGTGTGAACCAATGTATGCATACTTTGACTTTCTATTTTTTATTTTTAATTTTTTGGTCTTTTTGAGACAGGGTCTCACCATGCAGTTCAGGCTAGCCTTGAATTCACTTTGTAACCCAGGCTGATCTCAAACTCATCATGATCCTCCTGTCTCAGCCTCCTGAGTGCTGGGATTATAAGCATATACCACCAAGCCTGTACTGTGACTACTGTAAACTCAGTAAGCACACAAGACTCTGGGCCTTACTTATGCCATCCTGTGCTGGGCACAGATGAGAAAAGTTTGGACGGGTCTTTGTTATTAGGGGTTTTCCTTGTTGGGGGACAGTTTTATATTATGCAGGCCCTGTGGCAATACTTCCCTGCCCTGCTAACCCGGAGGCCTCTCCTAGTAATGTGAACAGGTTACAGTGTCTTGCTCTGCCTGAACACACACTGATCTGATGTCTCCAACACAATCCAATACAGTAACGCTCCTGACTTTTTATAGTCTAAGTTCTTAGAACCTGGCCAGGAATCAACCTGGAGCTTTGTCCCAGATGTTTTCATAGCACTCATTTTTTAAAAAATTTTATTTTGGAAGTATACAACAGAACAAGACAGAATAAAGCCAACTAAGATCGTACAGTGAAACTGATACAGAACTTCACAGCAGGTTACTGGGATAACAGTAATAGGTATCACAGTATATTTTGTTATCTTTATAATAGTTGTTCTTTCAATCACGTATATCAAATTGAGATTAAATATAGAACACTATAGAACTCATCAAAACAGAATATTGAATAGAGTAGTACCATTAATCAGAAAAGAGCAAAACAGTAATAAAAATATTTGCTTTCAAAGAAATGGTAGAAGGAAGTCCCCCTTATTTGCTATGGTCAACCTCCCAGGAGATGCTCAGATTTCTGGTTCCCATTTGCTAATGGGCGGCAGAGGGGGGCGGGTGTAGGGTAAGTGGGATATTTGACTTTAGGCCATGCGTCAGTAGGCTCACTATTGCTTAGCAGGGAGGCAGGCTGGTTGTTTGGTTTCACAGCATCTAAGTTCCAACGCGGTGTGGATCTCAGGAGCTGCTCTGGTTCTCCCCCTGGAAGGGCCACAGCACTCATTTTTGATGGTTCTCTCAGCTCTCAGGAATACAGTGCTGGGTTTGTGCTTCTGCTTCCAAATTCTGTGATCAGCTCCAGACACTGGTTTTTTTTTTGTTTGTTTTTGTTTTTGTTTTTTTGGTACTGGGGATTGAACTCAGGACCTTGTGCATGCCAGACAGGCACTTACACCTCTTAGCTATACATTGTTAAAGGGCTCAAGAGAAGTACAAGACAGAATTCCTCCTCTACAGAGCTTACTCCAGGAAGAGAGCTAGCCAGAAAGACACTGCCATGCAGGATGGCACACAGCCTAATGAAAGCACACACGCAAAGAATTCAGTGGGAAGCAGAAAAGCTAGGAATGCTTCCGAGAGGAGGTGACACATGATCTGGGGTAAATGAAGCTGTCTGGGTAAGCAGGGGTGTGACAAACGGTGAGTAGGACATTTCAAACAGCACACCAGAAGCAAAGTGTAGAGATTTAATTGGCAACTGCAAGAAACTGAACTAGAGTGGAGCAGAATCTGGGAAGGAAGGTAGGTAGAAAAACATCTTTCATGTACAAACTTACGAGGAACATACAAGAAGCAGATGCCAAGAAGACCCACAGGTGAGAACCTTTCATTCTGTCTAAAACCAAAATGAATGTTCAAAAAAGCTCACATCTTTTGATTGGTGCCAAAAGCTGTCTCAAATGTCACCCTACATCATCTTAACTTGGGACATGTCTATCCTTTCTTCACAGCTTCCCAAGGCATCATTCTGTAAATACTTATCAGCACCAATTTTTTGCAAGGTCCTACTGGCTTCTATACAAGGGAAAGACAAACTCAAACCATCTGTACTAACCCAAATTCCTGCCAGGGGGAGGCAAGTCTTCCCACAAGACTTCCAACCTGTGCTTCTAAGCCCTGGAGACAGAGCCCTTGGGTCTGACTCCGGCTCCATTGCTTTTATAAGCTACTTAAACCCTCTATGTTTTCGTTTCCTCCTGTATAAATTGGGGTAGTAATAAGGCCTGCTCCACAGGGTGTTGTGAGGAGTAATTCAATGCATGTCACACGAGTTAGAATAAAACCTAGCAGATAATAAGTATTCCAGCAGTGTTAGCTGTTCCTATTATATGTTTCGTGTTATACTGTACTTAATTTTGACATTAATAATCAAGCCCTCCCGAAAATAATCCTACCCATGGCTAATAAAAAGATGCCAATGACATAAAAATATTCTGTAATCTTGAAATTTGAGTTTAAATGCAAGTTACACTGTGCTTTCTCTCTGAAGATCTTTATGGAACAGCAGGGGTTAATTTTTAATTCTTTACTTCTCTTTTATGCCTGTATCAGTCAGGGTTTTACTAGATAAATAGATTATCACAAGGTATACAAATGTATAAGAGATTATAAGATTGGCTTAAAATGGTCACCCACAGAGCTGGATGAAGAAGTGAGCAGAGACAAGGTTTCTGCACACTGAATGATTCAGTCCAAGAACTGGAGCTCACTGTAGTGTTCTTTGCAAGTATCAGAAGGTCTGCCTGGAAGGCTGAAGAGTCTATGGTGAAGGCTGAAGGATCCAAAGTGGGAGGCCAAGTGTCTGCACTAGAAGCCAGGAGACGATGCCTAAGCTGAAGGCGAAGACTGGGGCTCCTCCAAAGAACGGAAGCCAGTCCATCCTTTCTCATTTCCCTTTTATACCATTTACTTAACACCAATGAGAAAGACTTTAGGGATCCTCTGTCTCAGTCTTCTCTAGGCTAGAATCTAAACTTCACAAAGGCAACAGCAATGGCAGCTCAGAGTGGGACACACTGTTTTATCAGTATGCAGTTCTACGGCAGTCCAGCTGGAAGCTAAGGGCAGATGAGGGCCAATACTCAGAAGACTTGGGTGGGATGACCACAGGCTTAACATCAACCCTGACAACTTAGCAAGACCCTCTCTCAAGATACAGTGGATGGGGGATGTAGCTCAGTGATAGACCCTTGCCTGAATACATGAGGCCCTGGGCTCAATTCCTGGGATGGAAAAAAGGTGGGAGTGGGGGGCTGGGATGAGTTTGTTTTCGATCTGACTCCTTGTACAGTGTCCCCAACTCTCTTTTCAGGTGCCTATGTTAGGAAGAGGATTCCTCCCTTGCTTCACTTAAAAAGTATTGAGAATCCACTGAGTGAAGAGGACTCTGCTCCCAGTGGCTTTCCCCCCACTCCCGTCTTAGATTTCCCACCTCCTGACTCAGCCATGTAGAGCTTACACCTGCCACTGCTCTACTTGCTACAGATAACATAATCCCTGTACATCTGCCCTAATTTGTCCTTGTGTCTCAGTGGAGTCCCAGTAGAAAACAGCGTCACACTCAAAAGGTTTAATTACTGATAGTGGACTATGCACAGAGATGTGGGCAGAGAACGAAACGGAGGTGCTGATGCTGACCCTGGGAAGAGCAGGACGCTGTGGATACCCTGGGCAGAATAACACAGGCACTGCTAGCCTCGAAGCTTATTATTGCTAGCATTAAAGAGGGGAGAGAGTGAGGAATAAATATTCTGACTGCTTTATCTTCTTCCTGCTTCATGGAACAGCATGAAGCCATAACCAGTGGGCCAGAAAAATCAAGAGGAAAACATTTTACTAAGTTACAATGTGCAGCCTTTAAGATCTAAACCTTTGTAGGAGTGCTACCACTTTCAGGCCTGGGTCCATGAGTGAGGGGAATATTAAGCCAGACCTCATCAAACAAGCTTTTCTAAATAATTATTCTTCTGGTCCCTGTCCCTGTGGGTAGTTGGGAAATTCTCCCTGAAATGGTAAATTAATGTGCTAAAGTTTCATTGTTTCTGTATCTTATTCTGGTTAGGTCTGAGATAAATCTGGAGATGCAAGAGGTGCTTTGATGGTCTGAGTATCCTGCTGGCTCTAGAATGTCTTTTTATTTTTATTTTCACAGTAGGCCTCAAAGACAGAGACGAGAAGTGCATGAAGATGCCAACAAGCAAGGCAGGTATGACCATCAATCTGTGCATGCTGTTCTAAAGACGGGTGTCTGCCCCACATTTGTAGTGATTTTCAGCCAGGACCATGAGGCAAAGGTTGGGGACAAAAGGAGGAGAACCGAACAGGAGGTGAGGGCTCTTGCATCGAGCTGCCTGGGAGAGGATGTGTTGTGGGCTGATAGGTTTTTCCTCAGCACAGTAGCAAAGCAAGAGCAAAGAAAGGAAAAAAGAAAAAGGCCTTTACTGAGGCACGGGAGGGCTGCAGGAGAGACAAGACACCCCTCGGGGCAGACAAAGAAACCACGAGCTTTTATTCAGTGTGACGGGGAGTGGGGTGGGCAGAGTTTGAAGAGTGGGCAAAGTGATGCTTTGACAGCTGATTAGGAGAATGTTAGCACATGCTTGAAAAGCAGGAAGCACAATTTTTGGGTTTGCCAGAAGAATGTGGAAGCCAGTACTGAATGGAGGTGCTGTCTAGCACCATGTTGGGCAGGCACCATGCTGAGCCTGGCAGAGCTTCACTCGGGCAGAACCTGTCATTCTCATCTTTTGGTTGTTAGAGGCAATGATTCTCTTAAACTGCTTCCTGCTGAATGGGGGTGTTGTGATGGGGACCAATGTAGTCATCAGGATGATGGGTTGGATCCACGTAGCAGCTGGTGCCAGGGGTCTCAGCCAGGACAAGGAGTTCTCTGGTAGTGAAGACTCACAATCTGAATTGAAGAAATCTTGAAATCTTAAAAGTTTAAATAGACACGGAGTGACAAGCAAAAAACCAAAAAACAAAAATCCCAAAAACCACAGTATAAGGAGTCCTAACAGGAGAGAAGATAGGGAGCAAGTGTCCCCAGTTTGGATTTTTTACAGATATTATTGTAATTTATTTTTAACTGCCCATAACAGCAGTACAGTTTAATACAGTTAAATACGGGGTATTTGGAAGCTGCCAGAAAAGGTTAAAGATTGGAGCCCCTTTTGATATTTAATTTATAACCCATTTTTAAATATATCTTTTGATTATATTTTTTGTTGGCTGTTTAAGACCAAATTAAATTGAGACTTGCATTACTTAAAATTAACCTCTGACTATCTATCAAGGTCAGTTAAGTCTCCTCAGGATTTGTCTTGGAACCATGGGTAGAGCCTCTCAGTTCTCAACAGTGGCAGCCATCAGGATGAGTCACGGCCACTGCTTGACCAAGTTACTTTCTGTGAAAGCTTGGGAGATTTTTCTCTTGGTGACTCTCCTTAGGAATACTATACATTGTATCACACGTTTTTGTGGTCCCATAATCTTAATCAGAAGACAAGGGACTCCTAGAGTTACGGGATGTTGCTGCAGAGGTTCTCTTAAAGCCTGAGTCTTCAATGACATCAGAGGGCTGCAGCCAAGATATTGGTCGTGCTCCTGGCTCATTTATCTTTTTAGTTTTTGGTATCTAGATCTCAGTTGTTGAACATCCAGAAGAAAAGACTGATAACATTACAGCTTAATAAGATAGTAAGCTTAACATTACTACTTTGTCTGATTATCAAGCACCTTAGAACATAAAATAGCAACTGATATTTCTATCAATCATGGATGTCCTAGTACTTAAATCCCTGTAGAATGTAAACAGTTACAAATTTGAAATCAAATATTGATTGTAGCATGACAATTATGACATTTTGTAACAATTTGAATTTACATTTTGACATAAAATACCCCTTCTAGTCAACCATCCTTATCTAATACATAAGAAGCTTTTCCCTAACTTGTTTATATTTAGTGGTATATACATCACATAAGTTTTTGTTACAGGCAGAGGTCCTAATATGAAACAAAATTTTGTCACACAATCCCTGTTTTACATTTTTGGAAGACCCATACATGTGGAAGCATGAATATATTAATACACCATGAGGTTAATAACAGTCTGTCACAGCTATATGAAACCTTTGTATAAGAGCATCTTTAAATTAAAAACCTTATTGTGTTATTTCTTTTGATGATGACCAGTGTGAACATACTAAAATAATAAATTTTTATAATTTTAGTTGGGGTGTCTCCCATAAGGCTATGGAGGTCATTGGGGTTTCCAATTAATGAACAAGAACTGGTTAAATGTTACTAGGCAGCTGTTTTCTTATTCACCAATTGAAGTCCTAACAAACAACCCCGCCCCTTCCCTAAGGGATTTTGTTTAATTATCTTACTAATTTTTAATGACTTATACAAAACCCAATTACTACATTTAACATTATTTTTGAACAATGAGAGACTCTCAAGTCATGATACATAAGTAACTGCATACATTAAATTTACACAATCAATTATAGCATCATTTTGACCAGCTGGCAACTCAGATGGAAGCATGCTTTTAGATGTATAACCCATATTAAATTTTGAACCAATGATCCAAAAATGGAAAAGGAAAAAATTGTTGAGCTCAAAAACAGCTGTTTGTGGATATGACAAACAAAAAAACGTATATAGACTATCTGTACAGATTGGACATAGAAACACACACAGTTTAATAGACAAACACCCTATACAATCAGAGTGTACTCAAATATATTTGGCCAATTTGAATTATAATGACTGTTTTATAGCTTTCACATTGGTAAGTATGAATAAACTACTGAGAACCTTTTTGCAGATCAAATAACAGAGATCTTTTGAAATAAGAATCGAAAGGAATAAAACCTTTTATACCTGCAAAAGCAAAGAGTTATTAAAGCAAAGACAGGTATTAGGAAGTCATAGGAATTAATCACAAATCGGAGCTCTTTGACATTATTTCATGGGTCAGCGGCAAAGGATCCTAAGTGCTGTGAGACATGGGAAAGGTCAGAGAGGGAAAAAGGACATGAACGTGGATCTTTAGTGCCTGTCACCTCACGGACAAGAAGGAGACGTTGGGGTGAGTGACATTTCAAAGGAGGCTGGAGCGGGCACAGGGGCGGTGACGCATGACTGACTGGAAGACAGCAGCGAGCCGGAGGGGCATGGGATGGTGGAGGCTGGGAGGAGCGAGATGGGTGTGATGGCCCATCATACCCAGGCAGGAAAATGGCGATGGTAGGGTGAAGGAGGAGCAAGGGAGAAGGGGTGATGGGGAGCGGAGGGGAAGACAGCGACAGAGAAGAGCGGGAAGTCTCGGGGACATGAGGGGCTGGCTGTGTGGAGTGGGCCAAAAGAGCTTGGGCCACCCCACGTGCCTGAAGGAGGGGGGGACACCCCTGAGAGCAAAAAAGGCCTGTACATCAGGCTGCTGTCACAATAGCAGAAGTGGTCCAGATGCGGAGGGTGGCATGATGGAAGATACCCTCTCTGGTCAGTGGTGGGCATTATGGAGCTGTGGCCAGGCTGTCTGGCGGTAAGTGCGCCTCTTTGGGGGCAGGAAGAAGGATTTCCCATTGTGCTGAATTCGAGGTGAGCCAGAGGCTACAAAAGCCAAGCCACAATCCCTTGGAGAGTTATCACCCTTTTTGGGGATCATGCAAGAGAGAAATAACTCTGTGGATCCCCAACACCCGCACCCACCAGGCGTCAGTGAGGGAACAAGGGGGGGGGGGCGTTCAAAAGATGAGGATTTGAAGGGTACAGGGGAAATCCTGCAGAAGCCCACAGTTTCTGAGACAGGAACCCCGAAGCGAGAGGTGGCTACTGGCAGAGGGAGCGCAAACTGGGGTGACTGCAGGAGCCAAGCCCCTTGTCAATCCAAGTTATGGATTATCAGAAATGATAGATTTTTCCTCAGCTTGGAAGAAAACCGAAGAAAGGCAAAGAAGAAAAGGCCTTTATTGCAGTCACAGGAGGGCTGCAAAAGCCTGTGAGACCTCCCTCAGGGCAGACAAAGAAGTTGTGAGCTTGCATTCAGTCTGGCAGGGACGGAGTTTGAAGAGCCCCATTTTGACAGCTGACTGGGGGAATGCTGGTGTGGACACGAAAAGTGGGGAGCTCAATTTCCGGATTTGCTAGAAGAATACAGACTCAGTGTTGAATGGAGGTGCTGGCCAGTGCCATGTCAGGCAGGCGCCACCCTGAGCCCTGCAGCGCTCCACAGGAGCGGGACCGTCACGGGCAGCAACTCTCCCTTCCCTTGCTTGGCGTTCCCAGCTTCCTCCTGGCATCCACCAGCAGGGGGCTGGTCTTCCTCACAGCAGAAGGATGCTCCCACCTCAGCTCCTTCCCTTTGCCAAACACTTTACAGTTTGAAAAGTCTCTCCACACACACTGTTCCTCTTAACCCTCCCACCCCAATCCAGTCACAAAGCTCTACTTCTAACTGGTTGGGAAAACTGAGTCTCACGGAAGCAAACAAGATGCCCAGGTGCAGGCAGCAGGCAGTTTTGGTAAGGGACTGACAGGTGGGCCGAGCCAGTCACAGGGCACGTGGAGGAGGAAATGCATCTGGGTGCAGTGCTGTCTCCTGACCCACAGCATCAGCAGCTTTGAGACCACATTGGTGACGCCAATTCTTGGGGCTCAGCCCAGATCTACTGCATCAGGCAACACAGGAAGCAGGAAGGTTAGAAATGTAGGTTTTAACAGCTCTCCAGGGGATGCTGATGCAGGACTCATGCCAACGCCATCGACTGGGGGCCCTGGCACTGGGGAGAGCAAGCCTGTGCGGTTCCCCCCTGGGGAGGACGCGGCCTGGTACCAGCACAGGGAGGAGCTGGGAAGAGAGTTATTTCTGAGGGCTCCAAGGGTGGTGCTGATGGTAAATGAAACATAGGCAAAGCCAAGGCAGTTTTTCTTGTAATGGCAAAAGGGTGTGAGTCCAGGTCCTTTTCAGGAACCTGTGCCGGGAGGAGAAAGCAAGCATCCTGGGGCTCTTCCAAGGCATATTCAATACAGGAAAGCAAGATTGGAAGGCTTTCTGTAACATGAACTATGTAAAAAAAAATAAAGGAGAGAACTAAGAATATACATTTACTCTGGCACATAGTCTAGCAACCAGTGAGAGGAGAACCTGGGGATGGGGACAGGGCGGGGACACAGAGGCAGAGGGAGTAGGTACAAAGGGGGGCTTACATTTGACTGCATTCTATATCACATTGTTCAACCCTGTAAATATATCACCTATTTAGAAAAAGTGGAATTAAATAAAATTGCCTGAGTGCAATTCAGAGACTGCTTCCCATGAAGCCAGGGCAGCCGACTTGAGATTGAGCCCACCACTCTCCCCCTACAGACCGGCCCAACACAGTCTGCCTACTGGCTTCCCCTCCAGCCTGCCTCCGGAAATGGCCACAGCACTTTGGAGGAATTTAGGTTCATTAACAAAACCAGGACAAGTAATCGACAGTCCTGGTTACACATTCAAGTCATTGGGAAGACCCCCACCCCATTCGAGCAGAGCTGCTGGGGTCAAACCCACAGCTCTGCACTGCAATGCTCTGCCCCTGAGCCATGCCCCCAAATTGGGACGTTATTTTTTTTTTAATGTCAATTTCAAGGCCCTATTCCCAGACCACCCAAATCAGAATCTCTGAAGTAGGGCCTGGGCATGTTCATTTGCAGTTAAAAATCACAGTCTTGAATTTTCTTGGTCACTTTGTTTATCCAGTAAGCTGGAGAAAGGAACAGGGACTAATCCAGTGGCTAAAGGAAGAAATAACACACCCTGTCAGATGTGTCAGGATCAAATCAGAATGCAGATGGTTTTTATCTGGCTTGGTTAGACTATGTGATCCACCTGTTTCTTGTCTGGCCCCGGCAGCCCAATTCTGAAGCGGAGCCCTGACATCACCAAATCACCACTGACCAAGTCAGAGCAGCTGCTAAGGATAGATGACCACGACTTCAGCATGCGGCCTGGCTTTGGAGGTAAGAAATGTACATCTTTGTGGGAGTGTCTTCTTTCCTAGGGTCCTTCTAGCTGTTCGTGGGTGGGCAAGCAAGCCCGGGATCAGGTCTGCTTCAGTCGTGCGTGGTAGATAAAGAACCAAGCCCACAGCACCTCCTGAGTGTCTGCCCTCCCAACTCTGGCTCTGCTGAACACATTTTTGGGAGTATCTTCCAGTGGCAGCCAGGCTGGGCCAGCCAGGTGCTCCTCGGGCCACTGCTTCTGAGGGCAGCTTGGTGTCAGTGAGACCAGCAGCTGGCTGTGGGGTGATTGGGCAGCTACAGCCCAAAAACTTCCTCCTGAAAATGTCTTGAAATTTAACCCAGCGACCTTGGACCTAGTTTGGTCTCATCTGGAAGCTGGCAGACGAGCTCTGTGTGGAGGGTACAGTGTGGTCTGCTGGGTCTAATTAAATGAAAATAGCTTGAGAAAACAATGATTTGTGCAGAAAAATGCCAAAGCATTTTGAAGCTCGGCTTGCAGCTGCTGGGTTTCTGCTTGCTTTGTGTCAAAGAGGGTTTTTCTCCTTATAGGATTTATATATTTTTCCTGGAGAAAAATATTTGCTTTAGGAATCATTCTCATGCTTTTATTTCTTCCAGTTAGCTTTGCCCAGAGGACAAGTAGGTTCTGGAAGTGAATCTCTACTCTATAATCTGCTATTGTTGAATCCAACCCCTCTTTTCATTCATTCCATGGTGATTCAAGTGTGCTCTGTGCCTGATCCACATCCTTAAAATGGGGAAAGGAGACTGAATCTATTTATTAAGCTTTCTTATTTCTTATCTGTAAGTTTGTATGGCCCAGAAATAATAACACATCTAACATTTTTTAAGGTCATCCTGATACATTATGCTGCTCCATTGTGTAGACAGAATGCTGATCTGTGAGTTTGACAAATGACTTGAATATGACTTCAGTTCTGGGCACTGTTACCAAAGAATGCTTCTCATAGCCAGGCAAGAGCCACTGGCTTCCATGAGGAATGAGGGTACAAAGTCAAGAAGTAAATTAAGAAAACAAATGGGTGGCCTCATGCCAAGGAATAAGTCTTTCTATCAGACCCAGACTTTAACTAGGTCTTTAACATAATTCTAGACAAGTATGTGAAACAAAAGTTAATGCTATATATTAACCTCATTGTTTTAGAATCACCTGGATGATTCAGTCAAAATACTTTGGGAGGGGTACAAAGAGGGCCTGGGATATTCCAGGGAGCCAGTTCACAAGTCCATTCTTTTATTTCTGGTTTAACTTCAGGTTGGCACAACCAAACTGCAACTCTGATGTAACTCTGAGATTCCAGGTTAAATACTTCTTTGCCTATGTTTAAAGCACGTGGTTTAGAGTTCAAGTAAAAAGAATAAATACTCTTCTCATGCTCTGTCCACAGGCCCAGCCATTCCTGTTGGTGTGGATGTGCAGGTGGAGAGCTTGGATAGCATCTCTGAGGTCGACATGGTAAGTGTTTCTCTGACAAAGGCTGTAGGCCGGGAGATACACATGGGTCCGTCCCTGACTAGGACCTCCGTGCACCTGCATCCACTTGGTCTCATAGTTCCCCTTGGAGGTGGGAATTCCCACATTCATTTTACAGGTGGGTTATGACACTTGCTCCAAGCTATGCCCTTGGTATGAGACAGGGCCAGATGACAAACTTGATCTTTCCCTTTGCAGTACCCAGCATTTTGCTATCAGGATGCATGCTGGGCAAAGGCTCTCAGATGTAAAGAGCATGATCTCAGATTGCACCACCAAACAGCCAGACAGAGCTTATAAGTGCTGATTCTGCATCAGGCTGTGGAAAAGCAAGAGTACCTCTCTTTTTTCCCTTTTGGTGGGTTCAAATACAAATAGAATATTTTACACAGAACTTATAGGACTCCTTAGGATATTACCTTGGTTGTGGTTCCCCAAAAAACAGACCTGAGACCAGCATTGTAGCGTAAGTAGTTTTCTTGGGAAGCATTCCTGGGAAACACCAGAACAGGAAGCGAGACAGGGAAGAGAAAGAAGCAAACAGGACTGTGCTCTCAAACAGCCATTCCTCTAGCCCTCATCTGCCTGGGATGCTCCAGGAATGAGCCAGTCAGGCAGCTCAGGGTCCCGGGGAGCGGAGCATTAACCCATCACCTTCTCCTCTGGTGGAGGGTGGCTCAAGGGTATTAATGTTCAACGCTTACAGCTTGAGTGTCACATGTGGGCAGCAACAGCTTTCCTGGCCAGTGGCAGGGTGGCATGGGCTCCTGGAGACTCAGCTGCAGGCCTCTGGCTGAGCTTCTCCCCTTTAGTGTCCTCTTTCTCTTGTACCAAACCCAGGATTGAGAAGCAAGGCCTGGCTGGGCTCGGTTTCACTCCCACTTACGTGATGGCCTTGCCTGGGTAGAAAATGTCCTGCTGACCTCTGTGGTTTCCTATGCCCTCTGCCCAGGACTTCACCATGACTCTCTACCTGCGGCATTACTGGAAGGACGAGAGGCTGTCTTTTCCAAGCACCAACAACCTGAGCATGACATTTGATGGCCGGCTGGTAAAGAAGATTTGGGTCCCTGACATGTTCTTCGTGCACTCCAAGCGCTCCTTCATCCATGACACCACCACCGACAATGTCATGCTGCGTGTCCAGCCTGACGGGAAGGTGCTCTACAGCCTCAGGTAGGCAAGGCAGGTGCTGCGGCCTGGCCAAGACAGACATTACCTTACATTAGCCCTTTTGCTTTTGGGCTTTGAATGTCTACGTTTCAGCAGCTGCCAAATTTGTCAGCACTGAGGAAAACTAACTTTACATATGATTAGAAATTTTAAAGAATTATTCAATCTTGGAAATATATTTGGGGAACTGTCTCAAGATGATACTTACAGTTTATACCTTATCTACATATTTTTAACATTTAGCTACATTAGCCAGTGTTTAATAAAAAACATTTGGCACACACCTATGATCCCAGCACTTCACAGGCTGAGATGGGAGGATTGCAAGTTAGAGGCCAGCCTGGGACACACGGGAAGTTTGAGACCAGCCTGAACTCATATGAGACCCTTTCTAGAAACAAAGGAACAAACAGACAAGCCCTTGCCTTTTCTGATCTGTGGCTCCTGGTTTTGAGGTATATATTTAGGATTTTTAAAAAATCTTTTGCTGCATCTGGCAAGCTATAGGCATAGTTTTTATCCTGAAAAACTATAGAACTCTGGGTCACCTTATGACAATAAATGACATTATTAGCATCACTTTTATAATTTAAAGTATAAAATCCTTTCCTTTCATGAACACAGAAGCTTAGAAGTGTTTCACTGCCACTGGAGCCCTCAACACAGCATGTGCATGGTGCTGCTTTCCTGGGAGGGAGGGCGGGAGGGCAGGTGGGGTGCGCTCAGGTCCTGGCAGAGAAGGGATGTGGTTACTTGTGGTGAGTTACTCCTCTTGTCAGCACAGCACAGAGCAGATTTGTGTAGTTCAGGTTTATGGACACTGCTTTGGCTTGTGTTCTGGTGAACAATAAAGATGAGTCCTGACACCAATGTCTAAGAGGCTTCCTGGATGCACAGTGTATGTTTAGAGCCAGAGATGGTGAGACTGAGTTTCTGTGCACATCCCTCAAAGCAATATTTACAACCCTAGAGCAACACCAGGACTGCCAAGAACTAGACCACGAAACATGTGACCACTGATGGGCTAGTAAATGTTTAGCAACTGTCTTAGGGAAGTACAGAGACACAGAGATGATTATAAACATTATTGACATAAAGCACATGATTTATAATATAATAATACTAAGTAATGTACTCTTTATTATGAATTCTGTATACATATAATTTGCACAGGATTACTTATTTTTTCTTGTAAAAACCATGACTGGTTTTTATAACTCTATCACCAATGATAGTTCTGCAAAGTCAGACTATGAGTAAATGTTTATATTCATTTTTCTCACGTGATTGACAATTGAGTGTAGATTTGATCAATGTTCGCTGATATTCTTGTATATGTAATAAGACAAAAATGGAACAATGAAGGATTATGTTGGAACTCTACTCACTCATCAAATAAGCAATATTTTTGCTAAGTTGGAAAATAGTTTTCAAATAAATGAAAACATGTTTCCTCAGCGTGCTGCACTGTTAACTGTCTAATAATATTAGACACAAATTACTTTTAATTTTAAAATGTTTCCTTGGTCTAGATGATTAACAAACTAATAAATCAAGTGCTCAGGTGCTGATTTCTATAGTGCAAACATTCCCCTCATGAGTGATTTCAACCTGCCAACCTGATGTCGCAGAAAGCAGAGCCAGGGAGAGATGTGGGCAGGAAGATGGTGTTACACAGTTAGGAAGTGATGAGCTTTGAGTTCTATTACTTTAAAAAAAAAATGTAACTGTCAGTCTATTTGTGCTGACATAATACCTGGGTACGGGTAATTTATAAACAATAGAGATTTAAACTGGGCATGATGGCATTTGCCTGTAATCCCAGCTACTTGCAAGGCTGAGGCAGGAAGTACCCAAGTTTGATTCCAATTTGGGGAACTTAGGGAGACTATTTCAAAAAAGAAAAACTAATTGAGGGCTGAGGATATAGCTCGGTGGTAGAGCACTTGTCTGGCTTGCGTGAAACCCGGGTTAATCCTCAGTATCACAGAAAAACAAGTGAAAAGAATGAAAAGTTACTTTTTCAGAGTTCTGGATGCTGGGAAGTACAAGATCCAAGTACCAGCAGCTTTGGTGCGTGGTGAGGGCTTATTCCTCCCCTTCTTGCTATGTGTGTGGGGGGGAGGGGAGGCAGCTGGGGGGACGGCGGGAGGGGGAAGCCAGCAGGCTCCTCCGGTCTCTTTAGAAGGGCACTAATCCCGTCCATGGGGCAGAGTCCTCATGGCCGGGTCACCTCCCAAAGGCCTTCCTCGCCTCTCAATACCAACACTTCATGGTTTAAATTCTAACGTACGGATTTTGAAGGGACACTTCCATGAAAACCATAGCAACAACTTATTTAATTTAAATTTTCAATGATTGCTCTGTTTAACAACTGGCTTACAAACTTCTGGAAAATCTAACAAATGCAAAAGTCTGGTTTGGTGTCACTAAGCATGACCACAAGAAGCAAGACAGAGGAAACAGAGTGGAAAATCCTGTATGGCCTCACCAAAAGAGACACCTCTTCCCTGCCTTTGTGCCTTCAAAATAGATTATTTGATTTCTCCTTATAAACAAAAGCATATGTTTTGTTTGATTTCAACGGAAAAAAAGGGGCCTAAATTACTGAGAACTACCACTGTGAAATTCATTTCAGGGACAGTGTGGAGTATGGGGATACTGGCAACTCTGTCAGCAACTTGGCAGCTTCTAAACTTCACACTATACATTATTCTCCCCCCTCATTCATTCATTCATTCATTCAACGGAGTTTTGTTCTGATTTGTTTTGTGGTGCTGGGGATTAAATCTACAGCCTCATGCATGTAAGCAAACTCTCTAGCACTGAGCTCCACTCCAGCCACATTCAACAGAGTTTTGATAAAAAGCCTTGTCAGATCCCGTCTTAAACTCAGGATGTAAAGATGAGTGACAGACACCGCTCTTAATGTGACTGCTGCAGAGTGGAGGGCAGGAGAGAAGCAAATGAAAAGTGAAAATTGAGATGTGGCTGCTGTGTAGTAGGCAGAAGGGCAGGAGCAAAGCGAACAGGGTCACAAGATCAGGGAGTCCTGGGCACCGAAATAAAAGGCGCAGCTCACACATGAGGCCTTCCCTCACAATGGTAGACTTTACCACCGAGTGCCAAGAATGTACATTTGAAGAAGTGGGGAATGTGAGGAAATCACATGGAAAATTCCATTTCGAGAATGTTCTTTTCCTTTTTCCATTTAAATAAAAAGTGGAGGGTATTTCTTTTTAGGCATAAACTATGCAGGTCATGCTCACAATTTATATATATCAAATTTTGTGTGGTTGGAGGAAAAAATAGTACATTCAATACCAGCCAACAACTGTTAAGCACGTCCTGCTGTGAAATTTCCCACTGGATGGGAGACTTTTCATCTGTCACTAGTGATCTGTGTTTGTTTGTTCTTTGATGCAGATTTATTTTCCTGTGTAAGCTCTGAAGCAAAATCGTTAGATGCTAGCAAGTGCTTGCATGTTAGTACAATGAACCTGGCATGCATGAGGCCCTAGGCTCAGTCCCCAGTAACACACACACACACACACACAAATTCATATGAGCTTTATTTCAGTTATATTGATTAAGACTGTTGTTTCTTTAAAATGTTTACTGCACCATGACACATTTTATGTGCTGCATACTGACCATAATGTTAAATATAAATACCTAAGAGTACCCCAAAGGAGTCCTTATAAGTTTCTTAACTAAATTCTGACCCATGGCTTATGAGTTAACAGAAAGAGGCTGTTGAGCTGGGGGTTTAGCTCAGTGGTGTAAGCACCTGCCTGGCAAACGTGAGATTGTGAGTTTGATCCCTGATACCAAAAAAGAAAAAAAAAAGAGGCAGTTATATGCAAGGAAGTAGAGGCTTCTGTTTGCTTTATCATCATCCTGTACTTGTGTTGCAGGCTTTGAAAACTTAGGTTTTGCCTTCTTGTTTCTAGGGTTACAGTGACTGCCATGTGCAACATGGACTTTAGCAGATTTCCCCTGGACACACAAACGTGCTCACTTGAAATTGAAAGCTGTGAGTAGAACTGTGCTGGGCATGGGCACACACTTCTAAACAATCTCAACACTCTGTCAACAGCAGGAGCAGTAAGATTTCCCTAGCCATGGCTATGCTTTTAAAAGTGATTTTTTTCTGAAGATTTGGGTGGTTTTAAAAGTCAGGGATGAATTGGATCCAAAGTTTTCTAGTGCTACCATTGATCTAACATCCTGTGTAAGTGATTTGAAACCACAGGGGACCCAAGAGTTTTTACAGTGCCCCAAGGGAACTTCTGGAGGGGGGTTGATAGCTGTGTGAATGTGGAGCTCCTTTCAAGCCCTTGGCCCAACACACACACACACACACACACACACACACACACACACACACACATACAGAGTCCATCTAGAGAGCTTGCTACTGCTCTGTTTTATTGCTCTTCTAAATATGATTTCTGTTGGAGAAGGGATTTCCGGGTAATATCCTAGGGAACTGACACTGAGCACTGAATTTCTGTGAGAATAGACTCCAACTCAACCAACAGATCTCAGGAAACTTGCATATAAGTCCTAGAAAAGTTTAAAAACCAAGTTCCATGACACCACAAGAACAGACAATAAAGGAAAAAGCAGGAAAGTCAGATTTCATGAAAATTTTAATCTTTTGTGCATCAGAACATAGTATCAGGTGGCTGGGGATGTAGCTCAGTGTTAGAACACTTGTCTAGCACATGCAAGGTCCAGCATCACACACACACACCCCACTATCAACAAAGGTAACCCACAAAATGCAAGAAAATATTTGTAAATCATATATCTAATAAGGAATTGATAGCCACAATATAAAAGAACTCCTAAAATTTAAAACCAACTGCTTTAAAAATGGGCAAAGGACTCAAATAGATATTTACCCAAAGGACATATATGAATGGCTAAGAATCAGGGAAAAGATGCTCAACATCACTAACTATCAGAGAAATGCACGTCAGTATAGCAAGGTACCACCTCTCAATCATCAAAGTGGTTACCGTTAAAAACAGCAAAACAATGTTGTGAGATTTGGAGAGACGAACACTGTTCCGTGAGAATGCTGTGATACTTGTCATTCACACAAGGATGTAACTTGCCTTGGATACAGAAATAAGAGGCAAAGCCAGGCTGAAATACCAAATATGTTGACTCCAAAGCCTTGTTTTTCCCACTTGACCAGGCAACTTCTGTCCTCATCTGTAACGCTGTTTATTTCAGGCTTTGGCAGTCAACATTCTGCCAGAGAAACAGAGCCAACAGAATATACCTAGTAAGAGATGTACTACAAGGAACTGGCCCCCAGGGTTGTGGGGTCAACTCTGTTCTCCTGTGCCTGCGAACAGGCCGACAGGACGGCAGCCTAGGAACTCTCAGACAAGAGCTGATGCCACAGCACACAAGGAAACTCTTTCACAGGAGACCTCGGCCCTGATTTTCACATCTTTACTTGACTGGGTCGGGCCCATCTAGATTATCCAGGATAATCTCCTCTACTTAAGGTCCATCAGTTGTAGATATGAGTCACATGTATAAAATACCTGCACAGATTAGTGTCTGATTGAATAACTGGGTATAATAGCTGGCCAAGCTGCCATACAGATCAGGGGTTTGAAAGTGGGAATAACATAGTATTAGACAGCTCCAGAAAGAATGGTTTACACGTGGACAGATGGAACTGCCGACTCCATATGGCTTTACCTGGATCATGTCCTACCTGCAGGCAGGTTTGTGCAACTGGACGGAGAAGTGGGTTCACCTGAAGGGTGTGCCATTGAAGGGAATGGTAGCACCAGTGTGATGACCATGGAACCACTTCAGCTCTACTCTGGGCAGGCTGGTGTACCTGGAGCCCTACAGATGAAAGTCTTGTTCTATCCCTATTTTCTCATGGGTCCTCTCTTACTAGAACATAGCCCCTATTTGGTAGTGTTTAAAAGTATTTATCATTAATTAATAAATCCCTATAGTTTGTAAAAAGAAAATAAGGATTAATGACCTTGAACTACGTGAAAAATTTGCAAATATTAACCCCTCCTGATCTACAAAATAGCAATTTTATTTTGTTTAACCTAAAAACACAGGCTAAACTTCGGGCTGAGTCCTTTTTCAGGAACCATGAGCATTTAAGCTTGGGACTTTCTGATGACTTTCAGAAGAGCAGGGAGAGGGGCTGGGGATTTAGCTCAGTACCATAAGGGCCTGCCTTGCAAGTACATGGTCATGAGTTCAATCCCCAGAACCAAAAAAAAAAAAGAAGAGCAGATAAAATTATATTTGTCTTTTTACATTTTGTTTTGCTTTGTTTAGAATGCAGTTTGTTGATTCAAACTATCTTAATACAATTCCAATACGGTAGTTTCTGAGGGAGATCAGAATACACAGCTTCCAAGCAGCCCCTGCCCCAGACAGCCCTGTCCTGTCACCAGGTGCCCAACGCTGGCTCCCATCTTTTCAGATGCCTACACAGAAGATGATCTCATGCTCTACTGGAAAAAAGGCAATGACTCCTTAAAGACAGACGAGCGGATTTCACTCTCCCAGTTCCTGATTCAGGAATTCCACACCACCACTAAATTAGCTTTCTACAGCAGCACAGGTGAGCGCCGGGTAGGAACCAAGCACCTGGGAGGCTTAGGTTATCCTCTATTTCAGGAGAGGTGTGGTTTTGTTAAGTAAGCAGACCCTGTGTCACTTGCATTTGCACTGGGAATCCTACATGAAGTCTACCATGTGCCAAGCATACGGTAGAAAAAATGTTTTTATATCACCGATCTATCTGAAGTGATAATCTAGGAAATATTAGTAAGGACTTAGGTATAAGCCATGTCAGCAGGTTTGTTTGAAACAGTCATACTGACAGCTTAGTAGGTGGATCTCACCTCTGATGTACTGACTAGGACCCCTCCCATACAGCATGAAGCCAGCCTAATTTCGATTTGTTTTCCGTTCATATTTGCCCTGCCCCGGCCAGCACCCCTGGCTTCTGCTACACTGTCTACTAACAGTCCCTTTGGATCACCCCGTGTTGAGCCTGAGTGCAGGAACTTCAGTCCTTCCTTGCTTTTTCCTTTTGGGGTCAGGCTTGTCAACGCTGGACTCCTACACACACAGCTTCTGCCCACTGCCTGAGGGCACGCTTTGTGGCCTTCTCCCAGGCATCCTGTGAGTGCCAATTAAATTGTGGAGGTGAACTCTCTCCACTCATGCTTCTGTTCTGACCAAGCACCTTTCAGGATGATTTTACTCAATCTTTATTCAGTTTCTGTTGCTCAAATAGTGTATGAATGTGGACGTGCAACCTTTTAAGTACACCATAGTCTTCTAATCAATGAGAGAACCATTTTACTCCAGTCTAGCATGACAATCCTGTGTATCGTCCATGTTCATTGCTCAACAGGTTATTTTGACCCTCAGTCTTCTGATGGTTTCCCCACAATTACTTGCTGATTCCAAGAGGCAAGTCCTATGCAGTCAGTACCTAGGATGCCAAGTTCCCAGTTAATCCTGCTATGTCCCCACTAATCTCAGTCCTTGGCATCTCATGATTCTTCTGACTTTTCCTGTTCTTTTTATCCTTCCTTTTCTTTTATCTCCTCCTTGTATCTTTTTTTCCTTGCAAAGATCACTCCGTGCTTTTATATTGTGCTTAGCCATATATCTTTAAAAATACACTTCCCTCCAAAGAAATTTAACTGCTTAAATCAGTGCTTCTCAATCTTTGACACACATACAAATCGTGTAAGGAAATGATTTAATAGAGATTCTGCTTCAGTAGGCTGTGGCTTAGGAAGCACCCAGGTGACAGAGAGGGTTCTGGGTCCCAGACTAGATTTTGAGTAATAAAAGTCAGAATGATTTTATGTAGGGCTTCCCTTTATTTTTTGGGAGGGGTGTGTCGATATTTCTGGGTTATCATATAATCCCTGGATTCCTGTTTTTTTTACTCCCACCCTGTGATAAGAAACCAGTGGAATGGCAAAGGCATTTGTGATTCTCTGAATAACATTTCTTTTAGGAATGAACTGAGTAGCTGTGATATGTGCTGTCTCTTCTCTTGTCCCCCAGGCTGGTACAATCGCCTATACATTAATTTCACTTTGCGTCGACACATCTTCTTTTTCTTGCTCCAAACCTATTTCCCCGCCACCCTGATGGTCATGCTGTCCTGGGTGTCCTTCTGGATTGACCGCAGAGCTGTGCCCGCCAGAGTTCCCTTAGGTAAGGAATATCTGAAGTGTATTTCAAGAAACTGAAAAAACAATCATTTGTTCTAGATAAAACTATTCTTATAAAGTTGATGTTATATTCCTGATGCCATTCTAACTTGAAAATTCCACAAGATATTGATATACAGGTAAAAATCTCATTATCAGGACCCTAAATGGCAAAACCATCTCCAGGTTCCCACAGGGACCTGTGCAAGCAGCTCACCTTTGTTCTGGTGCAGCTGAATCTTAGAGTGGAGGATCACGGTCTTTGGATGATTTCTCTGATCATCTGTATAATGAACACTATTGTATCACAGGGCTTGTTAAAAGGTGGTCCAAGGGATCTTAGAGACAGGATTTTGGAGGGAAATTATTTCAAATGAAGAGTTTTGCATCCCACCTTACCTGCAGAATCATAATCCGAGGGAGGATCAGAAACCTGCATTTTTAAACAAGCTCTCCCAAGTAATTCTTGTGCATCCTGCAGTCTGAAAATCCTTCCTCTATCAGCCTTCCACCAGTGGCAAGTTGTCATCAACTCTTTCTCACTTTAAATATTGTACCTACTTAATCACACACACCGCTATTGCTCAGAAAGTTCAGGATGACTGCAAGGGAGAGTGTGGCCCACTGGGTCTTAGTGAAAGTGGATTAGAGCTTGCCTGCGGGGTAAGCCGGGTCCCCTGTGATCTGGTGTTTGCTAAGCAAATATTCTGAGCTCAACTTGAAATCCTGGGTAAGTTTCCAAGAACAGATGCCCTGTACTCTAGGGTTGTTCTGCTGCTTGAACAGTTAAGTGTGCTGTGGAGCTTTTAAATTGGTCTCCTATAAATGAAGTTAACACCATCATCCTTGGTAGAAATGACCTCAAGTCAACACTGCTGGCTGGGCAGCTGGGTCCAATATGGGGGTGGCTGTCAGAGGCGCCATGACTAAGGCGGTCCAGGACTGCAGAACTTTACAACAGCATCAAAGACACAATTAGTACAATAAACCTCAAATGCTTTTCCACTTTGATTAAGGAGCAGTTACAGGAAACATAAACTTTCATATGTGGTTTTTTTCTCCCAGTACTGGGAATTGAACCCAGAGGTGTTCTATCACTGAGATATACTTTCAACCGTTTTTATTTTGTTGGTTTATTGATTTTTTGATGAATTTTGGGTACATTTTAGATATACACAATGGTCACATGTGTTAGAGGGAGTTTGTACCTGTGCATGATGTACCTTGGTTCTTTTCCCCAGCCCCCTTCCCCTCTCCCCACTTCACCTCTCCTTTCCTCCTTGTTTACGAAGGCCGTTTCCCTTTTCTTTCTTCCATTCTTTTTCTTTTCCCTTCCTTCCTTCCCCTCTGCCCCATACTTTTCCCCTCCCATTTCCACTTGAATACGCTCTTCCTTTTCCCCAGTATCTACTGTACATTTTGGTCCTTATTTATCCTTTCAGGTTCTCACACCAGAGAAACAATGTGATATTTAAACCTGTGTGTCTGATTTATTTCACTTACGTGTATGGAATATTTTTTTTTCTTTTCGCTTCTCCCTTCTCCTCAATTCCCCTTTCTTTTGAACAGTTTTTTCCTGTTCCACAATACCTTTTATACACTTTGGTCCTTATTTATATATTCAGTATCTTTTACCAGAGAAACCATGCAATATTTGTATGTGTGTCCAATTTATTTCATTAAGAGTATGATCTCAAGGTGCATCCACTTACCTAGAAATGTCTCAAGTTTACCCTTCTTTATGGATGAGTAGTACTCCATTGTATAAGCAAAAATGCATCTTTTTTTATCTATTCTGTGGTTGATGGGCATTTGGGCTGTTTCCAAGAATTAGCTGTGCTGCTATAAACATGAGTGTGCATATATGGCTGTGGTATGATGTTTTAAATTCTTTAAGAAAGATACCTAGAGGGAGAATAGCTAAGTCAAATAGTACCTCTAATCCTAGCTTTTTGAGGAATCCCCATACTGGTTTACACAGTGGTTGCATCAGTCTACACTCCCACCAAAGTAGAGAAGGGTCCCTTTCACCTATAGCCCACTGGCATTTGGTACTGGTTGATTTCTTGATAACAGCCATTCTTTCTGGGGTGAGATGGAGTCTCAGAGTTGTTTTAATTTGCATGTCTTGAATGACCAGTGATGCGGAACATTTTTCCATATGTTTATCTGCCATTTCTACTTCTTCATCCAAGATGTGCGTCTTCATTCCAGTTGCCCACTGTGGATTGGGCCTTTATATTTGGAGAGGGTCTGATTTGTTTCAATTACTTGTGTGTTCTAGACATTAGTCCTTTGTCTGAGGGACAACTGGCCAAAACTTTGCCCATTCTGTGCACTGTCTCTTCACTGTTGTGATTTCTTTTGCTAGGCAAAAGCATTTAGTAGAATGAGATCCCACTTGTTGATTCGTTGTAATATTTCTCTTGCAACTGGGGTTTTGTTCGTGAAATGTCTGCCTACCCCTATGTCTTCAAGAGTCCTACCTAGTCTCTGCTCCAGAAGATTTGCTGTTTCTGCTTTAATATTTAGATCTTTGATCTGATTTTAGTTAGTGTGTGGTGAAAGACATGGCTCTAGTTTCAGTCTTTTAAACTTTTGTGTTTTGGACACCATCTAGCTAAACTGTACTGCCTGGCCTCAACCTTCCTGCCTCTGCCCTCAGCCCGGCTCACGGTAGTGTGAACCACACTGTGCCCAACTCTGCAAACTTGCTTTTTTTTTAATGACTGAAAGAAATGCCTTAATGTCAAAATATCTGGGATTCTCTGTAGAAAGATACAGCAAATGAAGATTACCATGAATACACATGTGAAAGGGTAGGAGGCTGAGGGGGGGAGTGAGGGAATAGTGTGGAGAGGTGAACACGGAAAGTTTCCTGAGGGCGAAATCTTCAAAGATGAGTAATGGCAAAGAAACGGACATCAAGTCATCTAAAATTTAGTGAAAGAAGCGCAAGCTTATTCCTCACCGATTGCTTGCTGCAGGCATCACGACGGTGCTGACCATGTCCACCATCATCACGGGCGTGAACGCCTCCATGCCGCGTGTGTCCTACATCAAGGCCGTCGACATCTACCTCTGGGTCAGCTTCGTGTTCGTGTTCCTCTCGGTGCTGGAGTATGCGGCCGTCAACTACCTGACCACCGTGCAGGAGCGGAAGGAGCGGAAGCTGCGGGACAAGGTGACTTTCCTGAGTGCTGGGCAGCTGGGCCAGCCGGGGCTGGTGCAGTCCTGAGACTGTGGGGCGGTCAGGCTCTGGCGAGTGAGGCCAAGTACTGCTCCTCTACCTGCTCCACAAGTTTGCTGGGAAGAGCAAACAAAATGATGTGTAACAGTATGAAATTTAGTCTGGGCTAAATCTGTCGTTCATGAAAACATGTATTTGGCATCTGTCATAGACCAGGGGCCACTAAGCCAGTTCAACCAAGACATGGTCCTTCTTATCATGGTGATGCTCAGGGTTTCACGACAGAATCCCAGAAGAAGAATGAGTTTACATCAGGAGACATATTGTGTATGAACACAGAATAAAAGAGCACATCAGGGACAAGCATCCTCCATTTGAGGGCATTTTCCCTCTTAAGTGACTTCCTACATCTTCCATCACGTCCCACATTAGCTTCCTCCTGCCTGGCTCTCCTTTCTCCATCCAGTCTGCAGCTCAATGTTTATCCTCTGGAAAAATCTAAGCAGCGCAGTGAGCTCACCCATAAAGCCATGTCTTTCCCATTCTTGCCCCACCACCACACACTGACACACTAATGTGGTCTTAAACGCTTTTATTAATGGCTCATATATTTGCCACCTCATGGAGAACAGGGCCGTTAATATAACTGTATACAGTCTTGTTTGTCTCTGGTGTGCCATTATGCTGTTTTCTATGGATCACTATACAGTGTCTAGTGGAACCAAAATGGGTATGTGCTATGTAAGAATGTTTACAGTGGCACCACCACTCTTTTCCTATGTCTCCCCTAAAGTGGGAATAAAAGAAACTAGAAAAGGATGATGTGCTGCACCTGGCGGGTGCTTTGGTGAGTCTTCCAAGGGACACTGCCGAGCTCACATGCTGGCATGTGTTTACTGTGTTCACAGCTGCCCTGTACCTGTGGGCTCTCTCAGCCCCGTGCAGTGATGCTTGACGGCAGCTACAGTGACGGTGACGTGAACGACCTGGGTAACTACATGCCAGATAATGGGGAGAAGCCGGACAGGATGATGGTACAGTTGACCCTGGCCTCGGAGAGGAGCTCCCCCCAGAGGAAGAGTCAGAGAAGCAGCTATGTGAGCATGAGGATCAACACACATGCCATTGATAAATACTCCAGGATCATTTTTCCAGCAGCATACATTTTATTCAATTTAATATACTGGTCTATTTTTTCATAGATGCTTGTAATTCAGTAAGTTCCACTTTTTCATGGTATGTACTATAGAAATAACTTGGTATGATGGAAGTAATTTGAAGTTTTTTTCTAAAATCATTTCCACCAATGTCTTCACTATCTCTCCTCCAGTTTTCCAAAGCTACGTTAAGACACTTCTTGCACTAAGCATCTGCTGTATACACAGTATTTATACAAGGTGCTACAGCAATTTGACACCACACAACTGATGCTGTTACTCAGATTTCCCAAAAAAGCTCAGTACCAGTGCTGTGGGCATACTAGTTCAACCTCTTTTAGATCCCAGCTGCTTATTTACATGAGCGACTTCCTTCAGATGAGTGTCATTATATTCTTGGAACTAAAAAGAATTGGGAAGCACCTAAAGTTCATTTGCATGGAAACTACATGCACTGAATCCCCACTTTAACAGAAATTCGTGCTTCAGTTTACAGTTTATTACCTATTTTATGCATCTCTCATGTTTAACAAAAGGTACAATATTCAATATAATTTTTATTTACAAGCTGAAGTTCACAGGCTTAATGTCTTCATGAGAAAACCCCTTCAGATTGCTGCAACAGCTTCTGATTTGGTCAAATTTCTCTGGTAGGAAAACCTTGAAGATAGGGATGTATATGCATTCATTTTTGCTTTGTGATAGAGATAATTAGACTAGAAAACTTGGGTTTGTGTTCTTTTCACATAATCCCTCTTCCGTGCGTCTCTAGTTTGATGCAGGTTCTCATTCTAAATACATGTGGTATCCTGAGAAATGGGAAGACACTAATTTCTTCTGTATAAACAACACTCAGGAAAATACATAATTTGGGACTGTTTGTAGCTCATGAGGAATACGTAGTTTCTTAAAAAGAAAAGAAACATTACAATGCAAAAGAAATGGGAAGACAACACTGGATGTCTGCATGTATATTCAGCGGATGCTGGTTTCCTATGAGCCAGCAAACAGCTATCATCTAGTCCAGCAGCTCCTGTGCCAGGCAGAAGGATGGCCCAGTGGCAACTGCTGTCAGAAGGCTGCATATAAAGAGGGTTCTAATTCAATGTATTGTCTTAAATGTATTATAGAGCTCTTTATGCTGTGTATCTATAAACTCTGTAGATCAGCCCTAATCAAACTTATCTAAACAGCATTGCTCATATGAAAACTCACTTTATTTACTTACTTATTTGGTGCCAGGGATTGAACTCATGACCTCACACTTATCACGCAAGTGCTTGAGCCACTGAGCAAAATCCCAAGCCCAAAACTCACTTTAATAAAGTGAATTATACATACAAGAACATTTTTATTTTAAAGTTAATTTGATCAATGCTAAATAATATCATGCCATTTTTTTCTGCATGGCTATATTTTATTCTAATTTTTTCAAAAACCTCTTTGAGTAAATCCAAATGATAAGGATTTCTCCAAGAAAGCTCCATCAAGAGTTTTTTAGTCAAATTCAAGTTGTAAATTTAAAGGGATATGGATGAAATCATTAAATGTTACCATTTGATATTTAAAAATATTTTCAAAACATTATTTTTTCTATCTTTATTCTATGAAACAAATGCAACCAAACTCTTCAGAGACATCTTTGCCACTGTAATTTTGCTTATCACAAAGGCCACTGAGTCATGGAGGTTTCTATAACACACCATCTGACTTTCACCTACTTTGTTTGGGGTACTCTACCATTTGAACCAGCATATATCATGCTTTATCAGTCTGCTAAAACTGATAACACAAAGCCACAGCAAAATACTGCAGAACACTTGGCTTAAACAACAGAACTTTATTTTTCCACACTTCTGGAGGCTGAAGTTCAAGGTCAAGGGCTGGCAGATTGGTTACTCCAGTCTCTCTTCCTGGCTCACAAATAGCTATCCTCTTGCTTTGTTCCTCTGCACTATATAAGGTTTCCTCTTTCCTCTAGGGCCTACCTCAATAACGTCATTTAACCTTAATTACTTTAAGATTGTAGGTAATTATGATAGAGTTTTCAGAGTGAGAGACTACACCTTCAAGCATAAAGGTGGGAAAGCACCAAGATGGCAGTGGTGTTGCTTGAGGTCTCAGGGTACGTTTACATAGTTAAGTGAGTCTTTCATTTTTGGGGGATCACTCTTTGTTGACAAGGAAAAGGGGCTGCACTTCCCTGTGCCATTTTCAGAGGGATGTAGGACTTCTTTAGTCCTTAGTTACTTGTTTTCCATTTAGTTTGAAAGAAGCTTGATGTTTTTCTAATTATTACTTCTTTAAAGGCCCTTTTCCAAACATGGTCACGCTGAGCATTAGATCTTGAACATATAAATCTTGGGGTGGAGGGAGGGGACACAATTTCATTCCATAACAGATGCCTATAGAAATTATCCAGTGACACAGTACTACATCTAATGTTCCTGATAAATGTTTGTTCTTTACTAAAACGTAATCTTATACAGTAGATTTTTAAAGCTCGTTTATACCAATAGCTCCACTAGTGAGTATGAAGAATACATTAAACTCATGAAATTTCCTTGCTTTTTCTAGCAATTTTCTGGTGACTTTTACAAGCATCTGAAGCTAACACTGGTTAGGATAATCTTCATGTTCTTTTCTCAAGGGTGTGCTTTGCTGTCAAAGACATGTAACTGAAAGACAGCTCTGTAATATGACTTTGTCAGAACTCAAATATAAACCAAATCTTTTCTGATGGATAATTCTGGAGGAAATCTCATCCTATATGTGGTCATCTATAGTACTTAGCTTTTACTGGGATATATAGAAAGATCTGGTTAATAATATTTCCGACTGACAGATACCATATGGCCATATTGAAAAATTAATTTTTAAAGTTAAAATATTGTAAAATATACTTGATTAAAACTGTAACAAACAATGTAACCAGTGCTTGATAGTTCAGAAGACCCTTCTAGATTCTCAAGGTCTCATGCCATTGTTGTGATATAATGTGGACATAATGATGTGTAGAAATGTTAGCCAGTAACAAATTGAATTTTATTCAAACCAGATTTTCATTAGTGGCAACATTCTCTTCTTGTGTTATATATTCCTAACCAGTGTCTTCTAGTTTCTTTTTCCATAATTCATATAGATGGTGATGATAGGCTTTAGAGAGAATAAAAAATGATTTCTATTAGTAACAATGAAAACATTTGTAAACTTAGTTTTACAAAAAGCACTTTCAAGGTAAGTGAAAGCCCCCTAACCCAATGGCTATTCAACTTACTACAGGTAACAAATACTGTACTGTTTTGCATAATACATAAAAACTAGTATAAGAAAATATTTTGACTAAGCAATAACCTCATTCATTCACCCATCAAGTAATAATGAATACTTATTATGTAGCGGGCAATATTCTAGGCCAGCACTTTTCAAACTATTTGTGTTGGAGGGCTAGTTAATATTTTTACATTTTCAATTGCCAGCTTTCATCACTGTGACAAAATACTAACATCAGTCACCTTTAAGGAAGAAAGTTTGTTTTGGTTCAGGGTTTTAGCCCATAGTCAACTGACTCTACTGTTTTTAGGCCTGAGGTGAGGCAAACACATCATGGAAGGGTGTGGCACAGGAAAACTGTTCACTGTAGCAGCCTGAGAGGAGGGAGAGAGGGATAAAGAAGCAAATTTATGGTTTGTGTTTAGAAGTCTCCCAAAGCCTCATGTAGTCATGGGATGGGTTTCTACAGTTTGTGATCGATTCATGGTCCGTTGCTGGGAGTATGGGTACACCTGCCCTGGGGCAGGTAGCCTGCCTATAACATAAGGAAGGAAAAGAAGCTCGGTCTCTTTTTCCTTCCCTTTCTGCTCTTGTTGCTTTTGCTGCCTTTCACCACCATGATCTGTCACTCTTCTATCATGCCACCCTGCCTTGGTATCAACAGATTTTGAACTGAAACCTCCACAAACCATAAGCTAAATAAACTTTTCCCTTTAATTTGGGTGTCATGTATTTTGTCTCAGCAATGAAAGAAAAGTAACCCAATGCAGAATTTGGTACCGAGAAGTGAAGTTGTTGCTGTGACTATACCTGACCATGTGGCTCAAGAACCGCTGGGAATGACTTATGGGAAGAGTTTGGAAAGGTTCAGAGATGTTGCCTGAAAGAGTAGCTTGGAACATCTTAGGCTGTTCTGTATGGAAGATTCTGATCGGAACTAAAAAGACCAAAAGGTTGACAGAAATCCTGCCAGTAAAGACCAGGCGTGGTAGGTTTCTGTTGGGAAGGACTGCATTGACTGTTGGACTCCAGATGACATGTGTTATGGTTTGGCAAAATGTTTATATGCATTTTTCTCATGTCCAAAGACTTTGCCTGAGCCTCAGATTAAGTATGATGGACTAATTAAACTAATAGAAAAAATTTCAAGGCAGTCAAATGTTGAGGTGGTGGCATAGCTATTTTGGGGGGATTTTAGCCAGATTTATGTTGAGAATCAAGAGCAAAAAAACCCATCAGGGTGATTTAAAACATGAGTTTGGTCAGAAAGGAAGCGCCAGTAAAGCTGTGAACTGCAAAGGTAGAGCAGAAGAAATCTTGATTGATAAGAAGGAACATGAGAATAGAAAAGATGGCCTGAGGGCATCACAAGAAGCAGTAGTAATCCACCCTTTGCAGACTCAAAATTGCAAAAGTCAAAGGCTTTGCTTTGAGGAGAAAGCCACAGAGCATCATTTTCCAGAACAGCAGTGGCATCCATTCCAGGTTCAAAAATGGTAGTATCATAGAGAATTTGTTCCTCAGAATTGCATGTAGAGTGCTCATCAATCCAGGCACTCAACCCCTACAGCCAAGAGAGAGGAAAGCCTAGTTACTGACTGCTCCAACTGGTTGTAGACTTTGGCAGCATCCATATGGCACATGAAAAATGCAAGAGTTGTGGGGTTAAGAAGGCTTCCGCCCTGATTTCAGAAGGCCTAGGAGATCAGACGTTGTGTGAAGCTGTGAATGTGAAGCTGAAGGTGCAGTGGAGATCCTGGAAGTCTGGAGAAGCCAGGCATGTTGACCATCTGAGAAAACCTTCAAGGAGAGAGCTAAGCAGGCATAAGAGAGAACTGTGAGAGCTATAGCCACTGAAAGTGCCACAGGGACACAACCACACAAACCCTTTGGAGCTCACAACTTGCCACAGATTGCTTCATATGTTTCACATGGAAACAGAACTTAATGTTTGCCCTGCCGGACTTTGGATTTGCTTTGGTCCCAATCCTTTGTATTCTCCTGTTTGTAACTGTTGGAAAGGAAATGTCAATCTTGTACCATTAAATGTTGGAAGTGTTTAGCTTTCTTTTCATTTGTACAGGAGCTAACAGCTAAGAGTGCCTTACAATCAGAGACCTGGGACTTGGACTTTTCCACAATGCTGAAACTGTTAGGACTTTGGCAACTCTTAGAGATGGACTAAATGCCTTTTGCATAAAGGGATGTGCATAGGTCTTTGGGGAGTTTGATGCAGAATGTTATGAGTTGTATCTATATGTTCCCCAAGCCTTGTGCAGTTGTGGCAGTGGGTTTCTAGAGTTTGTGATAGATTCATGGTCCAATGCTTGGAATTATGAGTGTGAGTACTACACCTGCCATGGGGCAGGTAGCCTGCATACATTATAAGGGAGGGAAAGAGGCTTGGTCTCTCTCTTCCCCTTTTTGCTCTTGCTGGTCTTGCTGTCTTCTGTCACCATGAACTGTCATGCCTCTGCCATGCTACCCTTTCTTGGAGCCAGCTGGTTATGGACTGAAACTTCCACAAACTGTGAGCTAAATAAACCTTTTTCTTCATTAATTTTGGGCATTGCATATTTTGTTTCAGCAATGAAAGAAAAATAACTAAGACATACAGAGTCTAGAAAGTCCCCAGGTTACACCCTCATGAACCTTCTTCAAGGAGGCCTCCTCTTACCTCCAAATAATGCATCAATTTGTGAACTCACCAATGGATTAATCCACTGATGAAGTTAGAGCCCTCATGATTCAATTACGTTCCACAAGCTCCATCTCTGAACACATGAGACTTTTTGGGGGACACTGTTGAGGGAAACCATAACACCAATCTACCAACTTTTTGTATATTTTGAAAATAAGTGGAGTTCCTTGTATAATCAAATACTGCACTTCCATTCCACCTCTAGGAATATGAACTTGAGTTTCAGTCATAAGATTACCATCTGTGGATGTGATCACAAGAATGACAATAATCCATGTACAGAAAGAACAATTGCATTTTGAACTTAAAAATAACTTTGTTAAGAAGAAATCAAATCATAAATAATCTCTCAGATAACTACAGAGATGGTGACATAATGAAGGACATGATTAGTGAATCAAGAGAAGATACACCTTTAAAAAAAGAGGAGCTTAGAAAAATGATGGAAAGCATTAATGTCCAACACAGGAAAGAAATGGAATCTATGAAACAGATTAAATCAGTAGATTAAAAATTCTATTAAAAGTCTACACAGCAGAATGATCCATTGTGAGGATAGAATGTTAGACTTAGAAGACAGGATTGCACTTAGTGTTAGTGAAAAGATTTCTTAAAAATAGCAAGGGAATACAAGAAAAAAATCAATCCAACAGCTGCTAGATGATGCAAAGAATAATAACATAAGATTGATCAGAGTCAGTGAAAAAAGCGGGAGATACTGCAAGTGACATTTAAAAAAAAATCTGTACACAAATGTCATAGCAGAAAACTTGCCTGGCACGGAAAAAGAGTTGACACACAGATAAGTGAGGCACATAGAACTCCAATTACCCATCATAAAAAAGAAATTTACCCCATGGCTTATAATAGGATTCCAGAAATTCAACATGAGAACAGAATATTCATCTCAAATCTGTTAGAGAAAAAGAAACAAATCACTTACAAAGGAAAGCCCATCAGAATTAAAGCAGACTTCTCAACACAAACCCTTAAGGAGAGGCTGGAGTGAACTATTTCAAGTCCTAAAAGAAAACAACCTCCAACTGAGATTAACGTACCCTACGAAATTGTTTTTTCAGAATTGATGGAGAAATAAGATACTTCCATGACAAAAACCACCTGAGGAAATTCATGACCACCAAGCCAGCCACAAAATGTTTTGAAGGCAATTGTAGAAAGAGATAACAAAGACTACAATCTAATGAATCCCAAGAGAATGAATCTACCAGACAAGGCAAGCAGTTAAAATAGGGGAAAGAAAGGAAACTAACAGCAAAATAAATAAAAATAAAGATAAAATAAAACTGACAAACCCTTAGCTAATCTCATCAAAAAAGGAAAGAAAAGACTCAAATTCATGTGATTAGGAATGAAAAGGGTGTAATTACAATGAACCCTGCAGAAATTCAGATGACCATTAATACCTACCTCAAGAACCTGTATTCTAATAAGATGGAAAACACAGAAGAAATGCACAAATTCCTAGATATGTAAGAATTACCAAAGCTGAGTCAAGAAGATATAAAGATTCTAAATGACCCAGTCAACAATCAGTAAGTGGCTGTGGCTCTGCAAGCTGCAGCTGCCCCAAAGGGAGAACCACCAGCGACTCCTGAAATCTGTATCATGTTGGAACTTAGGGTACTGGGAAACCAAGCAACTAGCTTGCTCCCCTGGTAAGCAGTTGTGGCTCAGCAAGCTGTGGTCGACCCAAGGGGAGAACCACCAGCGTCTCCTGAGATCCATGCCATGTTGGATCTTAGGGTACTGGGAAACCAAGCAACCAGCTCACCTTCTTGCTTAGTGAGCCAACCGGCACACAGGCTGAAAATCAAACATCCCCCGCCTTTAGCAAATGGGAGCCAGAGATCTGAGCATCTCTAGGGAGGCTGACCATACGCAATATAGCAAATAAGGGGAATTTCCTTCTACCATCTATTTGAAGGCAAATATTTTTACCACTGTTTTGCTTTATTCTGATTAATGGTATTTCTTTATTCAATATTCTGTTTTGATAATTTCTATAATGTTCTGTATTTCATTTTATTTTGCTATATCTGACTGAAAGAACAACTATTGTGATGATAACGAGATCTCCTGTGGTACCTATTACTGTCCTGGTAACCTGCTGTGAAGCTCTGTACCAGTTTCACTACACTGTCTAAATTGGTTTTGTTCTGTCTTGTTCTGTTGTATTTTACTACCTTTAAAATAATTTTAAAAAATTTTTAAATAAGTTAGTTAAAAACCTACCAACAAAGAATAGCTCGGGTCCTAGCTGAATTTTACATGAAATTTAGACAAGATCTAACGCCACTATTTCTCAAACTCTTTAATGAAATTTAAAGGAAAGCAATACTCTCAAATTCATTCCTGGAAGTGAACAAAACCAGAAAAGGATCCAACTAAAAAAGAGAGATACAGGCCAATCTGCTTAATTAACATAGATGCAAAAATCCTCAGTAAGATACTGGCAAATAGGATGCAACAAATCATTAGAAAATTATATATGATGACCAAGTAGGATTCATCCCAGGGATACAGGAATGGTTCAACATATGCAAATCAATAAATGTAATGCACCATATTGACAGAGCCAAGGAAGAAAAACCATTTGACAAAATCCAACACCCCATCATAATAAAAGCCCTACAGAAAATTGGAATGGACAGTCTTTATCTCAATCTGATAAAAGCCATCTATGACAAACCAACAGCCAACATCATACTAAGTAGACAAAAACTAAAAGCTTTTACTCTAAAATCAGGAACAAGACAAGGATGTCCATTATCACCACTCATATTCAACATAGTTCTGGAAACAGTAGCTAGAACAATTAGACAAGAGAAAGCAATGAAAACAATAAGCATAGCAAAGGAAGAAATTAAATTATCAATATTTACAGATGATGCAATACTCCAAATAGAATAGACCCCCAAAACCCAAAGTTTCTCGATTTAATCACCAAATTTAGTAGCATAGCTGGGTACAAAGTCAACACTCAAAAATCAATAGCATTCACATACACAAATAACAAACTCACTGAGAAATGAGAGTACCACCTTTCACAGTAGCATCCAAAAAATGAAACACTTAGGAATTACTCTAATAAAGGAAGTAAAAGACCTTTACATTGAAAGCTACAGTACTCTGAAAAGAAGATCAAAGAGGATATCAGAAAATGGAATGATACCCCTTGTCCTTGGTCAGGAAGAACCAAAATCATGAAACTGGCCACATTTCCAAAAATGTCATATAGATTTAATGGAATTCCAATTAAAATAACAGTAGCATACCTCACCGAATTACAGAAAAAAATTGTAAGGTTAATTTTGAACCAGAAGAGAATAGCAAAAGCAATTCTGGGCAACAAAGGCAAGTTAGGGGGCACCACAGTCCCTGGCTAGAAATTATACCACAAAATCACAGAGGAAAAACAAGCATGCTACTGGAGGGGAAAAGTTCCAGGGATCAATGGAACTGACTAGGAGATGCAGAAACAACTTCAAACACAGCCATCTAATCTTTGATGAATGGATCAAATATCTTCACAGGAAGCAAGATAGCCTCTTTATGAAATGTTGCTGGAAAAACTGGCTTTCCACATGCCAAAGACTTATTTCTCTCACCATGTACCAAACTAATATTGAAATGGATCAAAGATCCAAATATTAAAATAGAAACACTAAATCCGCTGGAAGACAGAATAAGTAGACCTCTTGCAGACACAGGTGGAGGTAAAGCCCTGATCACTCAGGAAGCAGCACAAAGAATCAGCTGGATCTCACCCTATTAAAAAGCTTTGTGCAACCAAAGAAGCCAACACAATGAAGAGATAATGCAGAGGGGAGAACATTTTTTGTCAGCTGTTTCTCAGACAAAGAACTAATATCTAGAATATATAAAGAACTTTTAAAAAAACAAAAAATCTGAAAGAGTAATAAGATCCTAAATGCACAATAGGTACTGTGAAAATAAAAGAGAAAGAGAGTGTTCAAAAGGAAAAAACAACTGGGATAGGGGAAAGGAGAAAGGGAAAATTATATGTATAAGGGTATGTGTATAATATGTGTGTGTGTGTATATATACATATACAAGGTAGAAAACTCTACTACTAATCTCTGTGGTTCATCAAAAAGAACAGTTTGTACTTTCAATGATCATTTTTTATGCCTGAACCCTGTAACCTAAACTACCTCTAAGATAATGATATGCAATTGTTAACTAGTGTTAATTTCCCACTTTTTTTGAAATTCTGCATCATTTTTATCTTTTTGTTTTGTTTTAAAAAAATAAAGTAGTAATAGATCATTAAAAAGAACTTTAAAAAACCAGTCCCCTCCCAATTTGAAGAGTTCATCTAAAAACAGGCATCTGAAATGAATAGATGCTTCTCAGACAAAAAAAAGTAGAAATGGAAAATATATGAAAAAAATTTCAATACCCCTCATCATTTGAGAAATGTAAATAAAAACAATGCTGAGAGACCATATTGTCAAGAAATCAACCACTACCAAACGCTGGCAGGGCTATGGAGAAAACGAACCCTTTCCTATTAATGGTAGGCGTGCAGACTGGTAAAAACACTGTGGATATTAATGTGGAGATTCCTCAAAAAATTAAAGGTTGTGATTTCATTTGACCCAGGTATTCCTCTTCTTGGAATTTTCCCTCTAAGACTTAATAGCATCATAACACAGTGATATATGCACACCCATGTTTACAGCAGCACAGTTTATAACTAAATCTTGGAAATAGCCCAGATATGTATCAACTGATGAACGGGTAAAGAAGATGTGGGCTGTTTATATGATGGAGTACTACTTTGCCATAAAGAAGGATACATTGAGACCTTTCTAGGTAAGTGGATTTACCTTGAGACCATAGTCTGAAGTGAAATAAGGCAAACAACATACTCAAATAGTGCATGATTTCTTTGATAAGAAACCAAAAATGTAAATAAGGACCAAAATAAATAATAGATATTGTGAAATAATAAGAAAATTTTCAAATGAGAAAAGGACCTAGAGGCGGAGAAGGAAAGAAGCAAATAGAAGGGAAAAATGGAAAGAATGCTTTTGTAATAAGGAGAAGATGAACGGTCACAGTGAGGGGAGGAAAGGGGAAAGAGAATCAAATTCTACATGGTGAATGCTGTCACTATGTGCATCCCAAATGTACCAACAAAATTAACTTCAGAATAAAAAGAATTTATCTACTGGGGACTCCTGCAGTGAGTCTGCAAGGTATTAGGGCTCGTGCCACAAAGAAAGTGCAAGAGATGGACAGCAGTGCTGAGGGATCTGGGAGGCCAGAGTCTGTGGGAAACACAGACCAAGAGGCAGCCAGAACCTGACTCCCACGTAAGCCAGGGAGTTAGGTGAGGGGACTGCGGCTGAAAAATGCACATGCAGGCTTGTACAAGAGGGAACAAAGCGTTCCTGTGCGGGGACCCGGACAGCCAGGTTCAGGCTGTGGTTAGCAGAGTAGCCTGTTCTGTAGTCAGCTCTGCGAAGGAATGTCTTCTGGAGTCACACCAGGCTCAGCAGGGACGTTATCTCACGTCTCAGTCCACACTCTCACAGCCAGCTCCACTGTACTGAACTCTCACCACCGTCGAGGAGCAACACAACACCCGCTTGCTCCCGTGAAGACGCGTACACTGCCTCACTATTCAAACCGAAAGCCAGTTTAGAGAGGTCATCTCTGGATAGCACGCATGGCGCACAAGGCAATCACGCTGGGGTCTGGGGAGGGCGATGTGGTGGCCCTCCACGTTAGCACTGACCACAGCCTTTCAGAGCAGGGACTTCATCTTATTTTCTTCTTTCACATACTGCTTAGAAACAGGCATTGTTCAACAGAAGTTCATTGAACCTGGAAGTTGATATTGTAACAGTTAAAATTTCAACAAAACTATTAATAAATTACTTTGGGGTATCCTGAGAAATCAAAATGCTTTAAGCTTACACAGGTAATCATAAATCCAACAAATGCTCTCTTGGATCCTAAATTCCACCATCATCAATGAATCCTACAGAGAGAAATATTTAAAGGGGAAATTTTCCTGAGAGTTTCATATGAGAATTTAAGACTAAACAGCAGTTCACAAATTTTAAGAGGCAAGTTTAACACTAGCTATACTCAGTCTTAGGGGGCAGATAAGTGGTAATTAATAGCAAGATTTGACCACCTACAATTTGAAAATCCCAAATTCAAAATATTCTAAAATGTAAAACTTTTGAACACCAATATGACAAAAACAGGACACTCCATAACTGACCTTATGTGATACACTGCAGTTAAAACGCTATAGATACTGTTGAGATTACTTTAGTCTCTCTGTAAAAACATATACAAAACAAAGGAAATTTGTGGTTAGATCTGGGTCCAATTCTTAAGAGATCTCATGATAGATATGCAAATATTTTAAAACCAAAAAAAGTCCAAAATTCACCACCGTCTTATTTCAAGTATTTTAGATAAGTAATACTCAGCCTAAAACAACCAATTGTTTTATGCAGGTCCTATTCTCATGCCTGCTTAAAGTTAACTCACTAGAGAGTTAATTTTCAATTTGTAGTTATATTTATTTATGTATTTATTTATTTATTTTAAAGAGAATAAAACAAAACAGAACAGAACAAAATGATAGAATTTTGGCGTGGCTGAAAAGATACGAAGTATGAAATATAAGTGACCTTTATTTTAAGAATGCGGGGAGAGACCCCCTGACCCTCTGGGGTCTGGCATTGTCTCCGGGGGCTGGCTTTCTCTCTGCCAGACACGTGGCGTGGGGCATACATGTAGCTTAGGTTTGGGGCGGTGCCTAGGGGGCATTAGTGATGTGCAGGTAGCCCACTGGCATTCATCCACCCCCCTACAGGTAAATTGCCTAGGGGCGGGGAAGGTGACCTCAAGATAGAGCCCCTTGATTCCACCTCCAAGACTTTACCAGCTACAGTCTGGGCCAAAATCCTTTCACAAAGCAGATCAGAATAGAACAATGCAAGCAATACAAGACTTCAAAACAAGACAACAGGAAATCAACAGTGGCTACCATAATATCTCTTGTTTTCTTCGAAATAGTTGCCATACTATACATAAATAAATACATAAGTACATATAATTGCAATTTGGAAATTAACTCTCTAGTGAGTTAACTTTAAGCAGGCATGAGAATAGGTCTTGTATAAAACAATTAAATACAATAAATTCAAACAAAATAGTATAAAACCAATCAAAAGAATGAAGGCATTATGGGCCTTCAAAACCAGACAATAGAAATGCAGTTATATTTAAATGATTAACTTACAGATTTACGTTTTCAAACTCTATTAATTTTACATAATCCTAAATTGGTATTTGAGACAAAGGCTTTCCATACAGGGTATGAATAATGAGGATATAAAAACATGTAGTCAAGACACTTTGCATGAGAACAAAGACACTTCAAGCAGGACCACTTATACTTTAGCTGCAAAAAGACAGCCACACTGACAAAAGTTAAAGCCTATCTTGTGGGCGCTGGGGATTTAAGTCAGTGGCCTGAGCACCCTCCTGGCAAGCACGAGGTTGCGAGCTCAATCTCCGCTACAAACAAAACAAAACAAAACTATCCTGCGATCACAATCTGTCCAGAAAGCTACTGTATTCCGTGCTTTGCTGCACACAAGCACCTTCTACCACCCAGAACTTGGACACCCCCAGCCCACCCCCCCTGCCCCGCCTTAACCTAACCAAACCTCTCCTCCCGTCAGCGTTTCTCGACCCTGCCCCTACTGAACTCGCTCACCTGCAGGGTGACACAGACTTGCTGGCTGCTGGTGAGCTCAGAGCAGCTGAGGCTACACTTGCTTGCTATGGAGAAGGGTGGGCCCTGTTTTTCAGGAAACCTGATGTCCAGTGGTTTCTCTAGAAATGGTTCGCCATACAAAAGCATTCCGGGCCTTCTGTCACGTGCAAAGAACTAGACAAGAGAAGCCCAAAATGGTGCCAAAAGTTTGTTTCAAAATGAGGGGTGAAGGGAAAAGGCAAGAACTAGCTCTGCAGAGAAAATTTAGGCCAAATAGAGGGAGAAAAGGATAAAAAGTAACAAAAGTACATCGTGAGTCTGCACATGTCTCTCTTACAGTATCTGCATCGCTTGGCAGCTCCCTAGAAGTTCTGCAGGGGACCTGGTGCTGCCCTGGGGTCTTAGGATTTATCTTGCTTATTTCCCCAGCCAGCTTTGCCACCTCCTATCTCCTGTATCAAACCTGTTTCTTCCCTAACATGTCCAACTCATACAAGATGGCATCAAAAGGCCTCGTGATCAAGCCACTACCCTATAAAATCAGGCCTTGTCCCGGACCCCTAACAGCTGGCTGGCCACTTCCTGAGCTGCTGCCCATGAGTCCACTGTTTCATTACTCCTCCTACTCGTCTGCCCCTTGTCGCTTCCAGAACCTGTCTACCTTCATCCAAACATACATGTTTCTGTTCAAGTGGGCACCGCCGTGTCGCACCAGTAGTCGGTACCAGCCCCACAACTTGACCAACTCATGTTGAAGCAGCGGGATGAGCACCCACACCCCTATTTCCAACCCCTTACCCCGCTCATTACCTCTTATAATCTGAGAAATGATAGGACTGACCCATTTGTTCCCAGCTTCCTGAGTCCCTGTGCTCCAAGAAAATCCAGACTATCCATCCATCCTAGAGCCTAGGAAAGGTGCACCAGGTATCAGTCACTGTCATGACGATGACTAGCTGCCTCATGACAGTTACCACTCACCTAGTCTCATCTCACTGTTTGTATTAGCTTACAATAAAAGTCTACTCACTAAACTTGAGGCAAACTTTTCCTCTCAAAGCCATTCCTGGGAGATCTTACTTAGAACCTCAAATTAGGGTTGGCTGAGTTTGATTGGGTCATCACCATTTACCTTACAAATAAGAAAAAGTCTTATTTCACCAGGAACGGTGGCATTGGCCTGTGATTTCAGAAATCTAGGAAGTAGAGGTGAAGGATGGTAAGTCTGAGTCTGGCATGGGCAATTTAGTAAGACCCTGCCCCAAAATGAAACAAGTAATAAACTAAAGGGCTGGAGATGTAGCTCACTGTAAAGGCCTTGGTTTCAACCCCCAGTACCATTAAAAAAAAAAAGTTTGTCAGTGGGGTCTAACCATACATGCCTATAATCTCAGCTACACCAAAAGGTGAGGTAGCCAAATTCAAGGTAAGTCTATGTGACTTGGCTAGACTCTGTCTAGCCAAGTCAAAAAGGGTTGGGGTGCAGTCCAGTGGTAGAATCCTTGCCTAATGTGTGGGGCCTTGGGTTCAATTCCCAGTGTCAACCTCTTAAAATAAAAACCATTTACCTTTTAAGAATAAAGAACCACACTCTGTATGGTGGTGACCACAGCTACTGTAATTCCCGCTACTCTCTCAGAAGGCTGAGACACAAGGATTGTGAGACTGAGGCCAGCCTTGAGGACACAGGGAGACTCATCTCAGAAATGTGAGTAAACGTAAGAATGAACTGAGCCAGTATGGTGGTGCATGTCTGTAACCCCACTACTCAGCAGGCTAAGGCAGCAGCAGCATCACCTGGCAAGCTCCTGTCTTTAAAAAAAGGAATAAAGGACTAAATAGAACCCTTATTTTAAAGGTTCACATGTACTCTAGCATTTCTCTCCTTACATTCCAAAAATTTTGAATATTTAATCCAAAATGTGAAGATCAATGAACAATGGTAACTTAAGCTAAATGCATTAATAAACATGTAACAGTCATTTAGGAAACACACCTTTAAAGAATAATGGTAAAGAAATTTATTCCAGAAGAAAAACTATAATTACAAAAGAAGCCGTCTCCTAAATTCAAATGGCATAATGAAGATCAGCTGTAATTCATCCCTAAAGATACAGGTATTTACTCCAGAATTTATGTATTTATTTATACTTCTAGCTGTAACACAGTGCAATAAATTCATTGGTATATGAAAAGTAAAAAAAGATTTTTAAAAATCTGAACTATATTAAATAAATTAAGGTAAAATAATGTAAAGTAACAAAGATTAAAAAGCCAGATTTCTAGACAGTACAGATTCAGTTCAACTTTGACATGATAAATCTGTGACCATATTCCACAGGATAGATCTGTATTTTAACTAAAAATTTTAAATTAAAACAGAAACAAAATATAACAAACTCAAAAGTGGCTCACATCTTAGTGCTACATAAATATTAATTCCCGACACTAGGACCCGGCACATAAGATTATGCACCGCTGTCTTGTGTATCAGCTGCAGCTCTACATTTTGCACTCAAATGCAACTCTATCAACTGCAAACAAACCTTTAACAGCAGAATATTAGCCCTGAATTATCTCCAATTTATTTTTAAAATGTGTATTAATCACAGACAAAACATGAACATTTTGTATGAAACAACTTCACAAACAGGATGTATCAATTTGGAATACCAATTAAAATCACTGAGAATTTTATCAAGGTTTAAGAAAATAAAACCCTGTTGCTTGAGGTATAAGAATTTACGTAAGTAATTTAAAATATCTATTTGAGAAGTTTAAAACTTGATAATTAGCAAACTAAATCTGTTTATATAAGCCCGGTATTTCAGGCGTGTCCAATCCATGCTAAAGCTTCCATTGATGCCCTCTCTTCTATATAATCAGACAATGGTTGGCAAGCAGGATCAAGTTCCATCCAGATACCAAGAGTTAAGACAACCGCCTGCACAGAGGAAAATCCCAGGGCAGCAGGTAACTATTCTGGTGTGAGGTGAAGGTTAAATGGGGACAAGAAACTTCTATCACATAGTACAAAACTGCTAATGAAGTATAACATATTAATCAAGGCAAACATGTCAGGATATGCAAATCCCTTTCTTGGTGGTTTAAATACATAAGCTTTAAATTTCATCCCAGGACACAATCTGGTATGATGTAAATCAATGAGAAATGGGTTTTATTTTACTATAAAGAACAAGGGCTCTCAAGCTGTTTATTAAAGACAGATAAATATTTTAGGTTTTGCAGGCTACATCATTCAGTCTCTGTTGCTTTTGTTTTGTTTTACAGTACTTAAAAATATAAGAAGTATTCTTAGCATATTGATTGTACAAAAACGTAGGCTATTTATTCCACCAGACTGTTATCTACAGACCCCAATACAGAAGAAATTCTTAACTATCCCTACCAAATACAACCCCTCTCTTGCAAATTTAAATAATTTCAGGAAGAATACGAATTAGGAGTTTTCTGAACACTGTCGCCCTAAGTAGAGGTGATTTCATCTAACTTTCCAAACGGTACACTGGCAGATCCGAGGACCCAAATGACTGGCTTTTACCAGAAGACAAACAAATACACTTCTCCTTCCTCTTTCATTTCTGTCCAAGACCTCCCTTTACAATAACATATTACAGAGCTTTAATCACAGCATAAACTATGTTTTACCAGGTATTTTTCCACATTCTTTTATCATGTTTAAGAAATTCCACCTAAGGAGGATGAAAAGCTTACAATAATGTTTAATCAATATTGGGCTGGCATGAGACTTACGGAGGCTCAGGACTGTGTAGTCAGGTGAGCCAGGCTGGCTTCCAAACAAAAGGCACTACTGGGGACACTGAAAACCTGAGAGCAAGCAGGTGCCAGCCGTGCTCCTCTTTCAAGACCTCCTAGAATAGCCTGGGCTTCCCCACACACCTTGTGGGAAGAGTCCAAGCCTGTCTCTCTGTAATTCTGTCCTGTTACCATACACTGCATTAGGAATTTCTTGAATCCCACCTTAAAGTTCACTACCCATAAAAAAAGAACATTCTTCTTTTCCTTCAAATGGTGAAACCAAAGCTTATTCTTTGTACCCAGGTTTCCAGTTATTTCTCACAAGTATTTCCTAGGAAAAGTCTACTTTTATTACAAATGTGTTCTTCTACACCAAAGCAATTATAGTCAGATATTTGAAATAAACTTTGCTTAAATTTAAAATGTGAACTTTAAAAGTACTTCAGAGAATAGGTCTACCACTCCTACCATAAAACTCTTTCATAGGTATTGATACAAGCTTTGAAGTTCTTTGGATCTTTACAAATATACTATATATAAATTTATCAAATATTACCAGTGATAAATCATGTATCATCATGTATTATCAGTGATATCTTTGTTTAGGAAGTCATATCACATACCAACGCCTGAAATGTCACAATTCCACCAAGTATAGACGCAAATGTTTAATTTAGATGCATGTTTTCTCTATATTCTGTCCTTACTTATCACATAAGAAAAGTCTACTGCCTTTACACACTTTCATTAAAAAAATTAAAGAAAAAACGATCACTTTCTCTTAATGACTCATACATGACTTCTAAGGCTTCCTTTCATTCTACTGTATTTAAAAACTTTTCTTCTTGAAGTTTCAATTTAAAGTCCTCTCTGATTTTTTCCAGCAACCCTGGTTTAAAAATAACGTCCAATGCAGTCATTGCCAGAGCTTTGGCTGCACGTAAAGTGTAGAACTGAGCTTCCTGTGATCCTAAAAGACAGAAAACAATGAATTAAAATATTTGCATAGTTATTAAAAATTAATTTAATTCCTCATATTATCTCTTAATATCTAAATGCCTCTCCAACTACCTATAAAATATAGTCCTTTCTCAGATGATATTAGGCAATGAAATAAGACAGAAACAGAAACAGCACACATCAAAGTTCATGTCTGAACTTTACCTGCCGCTTCAGTGTACTGCTCAGTGTGATTCAAGGCATCAGATCCAATGTAAAAATATGGATGAATTCCAGGAACCACAAAAGTAACATTTCCAAAATCAGTAGAACCTTGAAACACACAAAGTACAAAACACATATTGCTTAAATACTTTTGCCGTGCGTGCTGCCAAAGTGAGCACTGGTTATAGACTTTTGAATGATGAAATTAGAACTAGAAACTTTACACAGCTATAGTTCTTCTCTCTGTTAGAAGATACCTAACAGTAAACTTCTCGGCCAGGCGTGTACACGCTTGTAATTCCAGCACTCAGCAGGCTGAGTTTAAGCCCAGCCTGAGCTTCAAAGTGTATTCAAGGCTCGCCTGAAATGCAGTGAAATCCTCTCAAAACACACAAAGAACAGCTTGTAGCGAGCTGGCCATGTGCTCACCTCCTGCCCCTCCCTCCCCTTCTGTGCTTCCTGCATCCCCGGCTCTGCCCACAGTCCCTGGACCTGCTTGCGGCCCAGCGGCTACTCTCCCGGCCCTCTCTCTCAGCAGCACCCAGCTGCTGCCTGCTCCTTCTCACCTGTGACCGCCAACGGCCTCTCCTTGGTCTCTCTTGGGACAGCCTCCTCTCACCTATTCAAGACTCAACTCCAGACCCCATTCTTTTCTTAAGCTTTACTGTTTTTTTACATGGGGCGGGGGGGGGGGGGTTTACCAGGGATCGAACTCATGACCTTGTGCTTGCCAGGCAGGCACTTATGCTACTGAACTAAATCCCTGGCCCCCCATTCTTTTCTTATTCCTCATTTTTTCTCAGGATTTTGTCCATGAGTATTGCTTCAAATAACTACCAACTCAAATTAATGAATTCTTAGTCCCTTTTATGCTCTATGCTTGTACATCTAATTGGCAGCCTGGTGCCTCTTGTTGGATGTCAGTACCCCAAGCATACTCAGACTCACGATCCTGCTAGCTCCTTCCTTGCCCCCGTTAACAAGCCCTCCCCAGTAGCCAGCACTGTCACACTTTTCCACCTTCACCACACCTGTCTTCCTTCCTGAGCAGTCTGTGCTAGATCATTTCTTCCTAAACTACTACACTGGTCTCCTAATTGGTCTAGCAGCATCTACTCTATCTGCTAATATTTTTAAAAATACCTTACACGGTCTGACTCCATTCACTTTTCCAGCCCGATCGCGTAACAAGCTCCCACTTACGCTGTAGTATTCAGCTGCTCTGGACGCCCCTCCTGCTTTGGCCCTTCTCAGACCTCGCACAACTGTTCTGTCCTTACCAACGTTATTCCTTGCTGTTTAGACACTGTGTTGAACACCATTTCTTTGGCGAAGCCTTACTTTACAAACTGTCTGATAAGGTAAAATTCCTCTAGCAAACGCTGTCCCAGAATTGTATTAATTTCTTAATTTATAGTACTTTTCAGATTTAGTTTTCCATTTGTTGAATTATTAGTTAACATCAGTCTTATAAACTACATCGTGAAGCTCAATAAGGTAAAAAATGTACTTTAAATCATTGAGTATCTAGTCTTTTACATGACTGAGACTTACATTTGTTAAGAAAACCATAGCAAAAACAAAGCCCCACTACAGGATGCTTATTATGCATCACACATTGCCAGGCGAAGTAGACTATACGAGAATAAGTTGTAAGGGAATGAAAGCAAAATATGTAACAGCAGCTAACATTTATTTGGAATTAATATGTTTTAAAAATAATTCTACATGCTTCATATATATTCTCATCAATATTGTACAGTCCTCATTTTACAAAGGAGACTGAGATTTATAGACATTAACCAAATGCCCACAGTCTCACAGTCACTAGTTATATGGTAAAGGCAGACCAAGACCAGGCTTTGACCACTTCAGAAAATAGTCACAAAACATCTAATAGTGCCAGAAATGGCTCCATTCACCGGGCACACATGGAGACGGTGGAGCAGTGACAAAGTGGGCAAACGTCTGCTGCATATTTTAGCATCTTACTTGTGGGCCCGACCTAGAGCCTGGAAATCATAGCCAAGCACAGTGTCTGTGTCTGTTTGTGTGTGTATGTCTCTCTCTCTCTCTCTCTCTCTCTCTCTCTCTCTCTCTCTCTCTTTTGAGACTGGCTCTTGTTACATACTCCAGGCTAGCCTTGAACTCACTACGTAGCCCAGGCTGGTCTCAAACTTAGGGTGACCCTCCTGCCTTAGCTCCTCAAGTGCTGGGATTACCGGCATGCACCACCATGCCTTGCCAGCTTGTGTTTTTCTACTGTTTTGTCTATTATATTATAAGGCAAACCTTGACTGAGTCAGACCATGTCTTTTTCTGCTTATAGCTAGAATGCAGAAAAATGCTTAAGAAAAATGTGTAAGTACAGAACCATGAAATTTCCTTGACCACAAATTCACAGTTTTTGGTAATGAGCTGAATTCCCAGCTCTGTTCAGAAAATGCATATAAGACCCTTCTGATATCCCTGCCCAACTCCGCTCCATAGCAATTCTCTATCAATCCTCTAGCCAATCACTTCAAGGTTCTCCACATACTACCAACAGCTTCCTTGGGAGGATATCCCTAAACTCTTGCCCTCTTTCCTAAATATACCTGCATCTACTTTGATCACGTATTGCTTTTAAAAATCTTTTGCTTGTCTCCCACAAGTTTGCACCTATTCTATTTTACTATAAAGCTAACTTTCTTGAAAAAGAAGACTCTTCCTTTGCTATCTGTACTGTCTTCACAGTCAATAAATACAACAGGTGGAGAAGTGAGATTTTGCACCTGGTCTCACCCAGGCTTCAACTGTCTCTTCCAGATCATCCATACGTTTTTTATTGCTAGTCCAGTGGACACAGACCACACTGACCTTATTCAGTCTCTTCAGCACCTGGCATATTTATTTCTGTTCTAGAAGTTCTTTATTCCTTTGGTTTCCATGACTCTACTCTTCCTTGACTATGTGGTTCACCTGACTACCTCCTTCTCAAGAGCCTTTCTGTGCCATAGCTTACATGTGATTGATCTCAACATTTCACTTTGGGCATCTTCTCCCTCTCTGAACTCAGACAACCTCATTAATACCAGTGTTCAATTACTTTCAACCTATTAACAACTCCTACATCGCCAGTCTAGACATCTTTCAGGGTTCAAACTCAAAAGGCTATTGAACAGTTCTGCTAAAAAAATTACATAAGCATCTCAAAGTTAACATGCTAATTACACACTGGCTCCAAACCGTTCTTGAATTCCTTTTCTCAGTGAATGACAATAACACTCCATCTTTATCACCAAATCTACTTCATTAATACTTACATTTAAGAGAGATATCTCTTTCAGTGTATTAGTAATAATACTCAGAAAAGGAAATAAATCTAAAATATACCCAAGTATGATTATTTAAATTCTAATAACCACCTTAGAATCTGAAAATTCCCCAGCTAAACACTTAATAACCTGTTTATAGTGAAGATTGAGAACCAAATTAAGATTCTATTTTCCATTTTATTATTTTATGTCAAAGTTAGAATTGAATTTAAACACTAGAAATATTTAAATGTAGACCAAACAGTGGGTTGACTATTGCTGAAAAAAATTTGTTAATTTGGCATTTTACACTCACCGAAGAGTATGTTAATTTTTTCCTCTAACTGTTAAGTCTGTGAAATTACCATTTAAAATATCAGCAGTATCTCCTCATTGCTAAACCAGTAATCAAAATCATTTAACCAAAAACGGTATTTTTCTTCCTCAAATAGCTCAATAAATAAAAGAACTTAATTACCTGAAGGGCCAGTTAACATCATATCTTCTGAAATGAATTGTATACCCAGTTTTTTTCCATTCTCCATGTAAGTTTTCCATAGGGTCTTATTGGGAAGAACATTGTAATAATCATGTGCTCCAGCTTTAATTTCTATCTAATAAAAATTATAAAACAAATTTGAAATAAACTAAAATTACAAAATTTCAAAGAAGGCCTGGTTTTCAAACAGGAAAAGATATTAAGAGCATTAAGGCAGTTTTTTCATCCAGATATAAATTCTCTCATATCTATTACCTTAAAATTTGTACTTTGTATTTGTTATAGAGAGTTTATAACATCCTATCTTTTTATATATGCACCAAACCTTATAATTTCACCAAGCTCTATGCTGCCAGAAAGTGCCAACTTCAGTCATCTAAAAAGGGTTTGGGGAGAACCCAGAAACTCCACTTTTTATACTACCATCCCCAAGTAATTTTGATACAGACGGTCAAAAAACCACTGCTTTGTGAGAAACACTGCTCTCAGGTTCATCTCCAAAAGAAAGAAATTCTGCAACAAACATTAAACATACAGACACTGACACCACTGCCTGGTCTGAAAGGGACCCTGAGAAATACAGAAGCCTCACAATAATAGTCAACAATGGTCCTCATTTATTAACTCGAGTGTATGAAAACACAGAAGCAGTTTATGTGTGCCCAGATGTATAGATTTATAGGCCTAGTTTTGATGGAATCAAAATGGGCACTAGCGTCTCAAACTAAATAACACAAAAGTTAATAATAAAATAGCAGAGATCACATCTATTCTTGGCACTATCTAAGGTAGAAACAAAGTCAGCCTAATCAGATCTTACGTCAGTCAAAATGTAAGACATTTTAAATTTTAATGTAAGACTTTTAAAAATATAGATTCAAATCTAACAAGCTCTATACTCAAATATTGTACATTTTTAGATATTAGCTAATGATAACAGTTCAGTATGTATTTTGTTGTGGCTTGTAGCTAGCTAGATGCCACCCCTTACAAGCCTTATGCACTCATAGGTGGGGCTTTTTGGAGCTGGTGGTATCTAGGGTTTGTGATACTGGGATTAAGAATGGGTGGTGGGCCCAGGATTTAGCTCAGCAGCATAAGTACCTGCCTTGCAAGCGTGAGGTTGTGAGTTCGATCTCCAGTACCAAAAAGAAAAAAAGAAAAGAAGAAAAAGAATGAGTGGCATTAAAGCAGTCCACTGAATGGTTTGGCATAGTTCTGGGCCTAGACGATAGGAAGGCCCACCCTGGTGTGAGTGGCACCACTCAAAAGTCAGGTAGCCCGAATGGACTAAAGAGAAAGGGAGGCCACTGCTGCCTCCTGTCCACCCTGCCACGGCTGCCTCCTGTCCACCCTGCCATGGCTGTTCTCCTCTGGCATCCTCTCTGCCCTGCCACCTCGCCTCAGAGCCAGCTGACTATAAACTAACTGTGAGCTGAAATAAACCTTTCCCTTAACTAAGACATTTTCATAAGTAAATGTTTAAAATACTGATCAAAAAGTTTCTCAGTTACTTTTCTCACGGCTGGTTCTGATATCTGATACCCACAAATTAAGGGAGAAAAGGTTTACTTAGTTCACAGTTTGTAGAGGGTCCAGTCCATAATCCAATGGCTACAAAGCAGGATGGGCACATGGCAGTTCATGGTGGCAGGAGACAGCAAAAGCAACAACTGAGGGAGCAAGACGAGCCTCTTTCTGTCCCTCCTGCAGTATCCAGTCTACTGGGATTAGGGCAGAGCCAGACTAATCAACGGACTGACCCAGTATCCACCCACCCTGAATCCTGCACCCTCAGTCCCAGCTTTGCACTATGAATCAATCACGTGCTCTAGAAAAGCTCTTGCCCTACATAACTGCATGAGCCTTCGGGGGGACATCTAGCCATAGATCATAACATAAAGTTTTACATTCTTATCTGACTACATTCTCTGTCAGAGAGCTCTCACTCTGTCTGTCACATATCTGAAAGTAGTACAATAACACTTCTATAACACTTCCTCAGCTCTCTGTAACAGTCCCAGGACACAGCTTTCCTGTCTCAGATGCTTCCTGCCATTTACTATCCGTGCTATTCCTAGAACACTAACATACTCTATCTGGGAATTATTGCTACTGTCAGACAATGGTGCTATGTCAATAAATCATACTTCACTAGACTAGTAAGTAGAGAAAAATCTTAGTATCACATATGAAGCTGAGCTCTCGGTTCTTCACAATGTCTGATTGAACTTTCATGAGAATCCTAAGATAGATTATGGTATTAACCCTATGTTTTCAAGTAAGAAAACAGATCCAGACATATTAAATATTTCTAAAGGCTACAGATTAGCAAGGCTGAGAAGAGGTAGAGGTCAAGATCTTATCTTTCCAACTAAACAAGATTCTATGTGCAAGACTCTTATTTTATATAATTCTAAAATTCATCCTACTTTACATCATATAGACTGATACTTAAATATTACTCACTTTACTGTCCAACTCAACAAAATATTGTGACTACCTTCTGTGTCTATTTTAACTTCCATTCCAGCCAGCTATAAGTATTTATACATTTTCATATCACTATACCAAAAACAGCTTTTGCGAATTTTGTCACAAAGCTTTCTTTCCAGGACTGTTATATATAAAACAACTCTAAAAGTTTATCTGCCAATAAGGAAGGATATTCCTGCAAAAAGGCGGGGATGCTATACAGCAGTATCCACGTCCAAATTACTGTAATTACTGTATAAAGCGACCTATAGTTTACATATTGCAGACAATGAATAAAATACACAATATTGCAAAACTTTCACATTAACTATTCAGTCAACTCATTTTGCATATTCAAGACATCATCAACAAATGCAAGGCCCTGGGTTCAATCTCCAGCACCAAAACCAACAACAAAAAAATTACCAAATGAAAAAGAGGTAAATTAGATTTTAATCTAACTTAATATAAATAGCCCAACCCACATATATACCTCTGATTATAATTAACTGTGAAAAGTTCTTACTGTACACCCTGTGGCCAAAGCTGCAGCTCTGAAGCAATCTTCTGCTTTTTTGGTCAAAACTTGAAGTTCTTTCATTGAGGGTGCACGGAAGTAGTAAATTAATTCAGAATAAGAGGGAATGATATTGGGTTTTACACCACCATTTTTTATTATACCTACAAAAAGAGCCAAATAACTGGAATTAAGCTTGGTGATTATTATTTTAAGCTTAAATATAATCATAAATAAAAATAATTTAAATTTTTTAACTTTACTGATATACCAAAGATGTATGTTATACAAGTTTTGATACAAAGGGTGATTATTTTCCAGCTAATAGAAAAAAAATTGACCATACATACTTTATTCTAAGGAATCTAGATAATGCTAAGAAATGATGGAGGCGTGTGATATAGCTGAGTAACAGAGAGCTTGCAGCCCTGGGCTTGACCCCAGCGCTACCAAAAAGAAAAAAAAATTCCACAAAATTATAATCTAGATAGGAAGTAGGCAAAAGTCCAATTACAGAATGACTTTAGCACACAGAAAAATAAGATAAAGAAAGAATATTTATGTATAACAGATTCCTAAATCATAAGAAATAAACTACAAAATTAAACTTGTACCTTCAAGATAATACTTTATTACTGCATTTATATTATGGCGATACATATAATTTTAAATTATTTTATTCAGGATTTAATAGCATTTTGGATTTAAATAAAATCAGTAATCACTACATCTTAAGTTGAGGAAATGACAAAATCTTATCAGTGTTAAGACAGTGGAAAATCAATTTCAACTTTTTAACACCCACAGAAAGAATGTAGCTACCTATATAAAATCTTTTATATATTACTCAAAAGATGACCATTGGGGGCTGGAGATTTAGCTTAGCGGCATAAGCGCCTGCCTTGCAAGCAGGCAGTCGTGAGTTCAATCCCCGGTACCGATAAAAATCAAAAAGACAAAAAAAAAAAAAAAAAAAAAAAAAAAAAAAAAAAAAATGACCATTTTATGTATGATGAGCCTGTCTTCCTACCAATAAACATTTGTAGAATCTTGTCACATTGTTTTCTGAAAATATGGTTAAAAATTTTTAAATATTCACATGAAGCATGTAAGTTATTTCCAAGTGGTTTTTATAAAACCAAATATTACATAATTATGTTGTACTGAACACTATCTATTTTGCAAAGTATTTGACATTCATACCATGAGCTCTCCAGGTTGGTTTCATTTGCTGTCTTAACACAGATATATTGTTGTAGGCAAGAACAGCAGCATCTAAAGCATTTACTCCTTCCCAAGGGTAAGCAGCAGCATGAGATGCCTTTCCATAGTATTTCACAGTCACACTAGGAAAAAATCATCTGAAATTACTTTCTCCAGTATCCCTACAGTAAGAAAATCCAGGTGGGCATGGCGGCACACTCCTGTAATCCCAGCACTCAGGAGGCTGAAGCAGGAAGATCACTAGGAGTTTGAAGCCAGCTGGCCTATGTAGTGAGTCAGACTAAAGTACAAGTCCCACTCCCCCAAAAAAACAACTAAGGAGAATTACTATTATTCAAAACTGATTCAGATTGCTAAAATTTTGATTTATAAATCACTTATAGCAAAAGTACTGTAATTTACTTATGTTATACTTAATTATTTTATTATATAATAATGTGTCTGATGCAAAGAAATAATTCCAAATAGACAGAACTGAACTTGGCTCAGTCAACTTTTTCTTCTGTAGAAAGAAAAAATCCTGTCTTCTTTTACACTGCCTTGTGATGGTTCTTTAAATCTGCAAAAATTCAGATAATGCTGTTTTAAGGAGGGAAGGTCAAAAGAAGACAAAAAGTAACATTAGAAATTAATTAAGACTATGTCTGAAAATTGGATTATATTCATAGTGCTATTCAGGTTCTATATTCTGGCTCAGGACATAATTTATTCTTTGTTAAGAACCAAATAAACAAAATGGAGACATGCATTTTCTTCCCAACTGTCTCTTGCAAATCTTTTCAGTTACAAAGGCCATTTCATTTTGAAGGACAGATATTTTCCAAAAATCATCTTACTATCAAAGAGTTCAAAATAGATTGCAAATGTCAATATTTTTTGGTTTCTTTTAATTTTTATGTTTTTTGTTTTATTTATTTTTGGCAGTACCAGGGATTGAACCCACGGCCCTCACACTGAGTTACACCCCTAGTCCTTTTATCTTGAGACAGAGTCTCACTAGTGCCTAAGTGGGGCTCACTTTCACTCTGCCTGCTTCAGCCTCCCAGCATGCTTGGGTTACAGGTGTGTACCACCATAGCCAGCTAACTCCATCATTTTCATGTTTTAAGGTATTGTTTTAATAGTCCAAATAAACGCTGAAAGTCATCCAACGTAAGTCAAGATAATACATCAGTATCTTTCAATGTATTTTTAAAATTTTTTAATTGGGTCTCATGGTTAGCCTTGAACTCATGAGATCAAGTAATCCTCCCACTTCCTGAGTAGGGGAGACTACGAGACTACAGGCACATGCTATTGTACCAAACTCTGTTTACTTTTTAAATGTGTAAATGTGAAAGTTTAATCTCTGATTTAGACATAAAAGTACTCCACAGGCTGTCTTCCACTAAGAATTTTATCTTCAACTTGATTACTTACTCATGTTCAGCCACATCCTGTAGATAAGCCGCATTCTCTTGGGAGGGATGGGCCATAAAAACAACATCAAGGTTCTTAAAAGCACCTGCTTCAATTAAATCAATTTTGCCACCACCATCTTCTTCTGCAGGGGTTCCCAAGACAATTATCTAGAAAGAAATATTCATATCAGAGCAAAAGAACAATAAAAAGTCCTAGCAGGAAAACATTAAATAGGTTCCTTGGCATATGCATTCACAATCTACATCAAAGCCTTTAAACTATGGAAAGAGGTTTTGTTCTATGCTTCTACGGTTGATATATACAACTGTTATACTAATTTGGTACAAAGAATGAACTAGAAAATTTCCTGAATTTTTTAACAGCAAAAAAATTTTACAAAGAAATGAATACTCAAAATTAATTAGGATTTACACCTTAAGGCTTATTCATGGCTATTAGTTATGTATGTAATTTGTAAGCATGTTACTGGTAAGGAACTTCTGGGGGACTTTAGTTATCCTCACAACAACCCTGTGAGGTAGGTGAGTGATCTTTTAGGAAGGATGACTTTGAGAAAGAGTAAAGTGTCATGCCCCAGGTCACAGAACAATTCTTCAGGCAGATATGTGATTATTCTGCATACATTATTTTGACCTTCAGGCCTGAACTACCTATTTTAAAAGTTTTAACTCATCAATCCTTTATGAAACAAATCTTAGACCATGGTTAAATAGCCAACTGTTACATAAACTTACTAAATTCGATCCCACCAGTTCAATCAGGCAGATTTACTGGTCACCAAACACCTAATTAAACAAAAGAGAACTTTACAGAATAAACATTTTACTTTGGTATTTAGCTTAATTTCTTCAAACAGTTTTAAAAATCAAAGAAAAAATATGTATAAACAACTAAAATACAATTAAACAAGCTACAAGTGTCTTGGCCTGCAAAGAGAAGCAATATAAATTCCATTTTTAGATAAAACAGTTAACCTTACTAAAACTGAGAATCACTTGAAATTAGATGTTAGTGCAGTTCTCAAAGTCCAGCTTTGTTTATAAATTATACTTAAACTCTTAAGTTTAAAACTGCTCTTTACCCTTTATCTTTGACTTATTAAATCTGATGAATCTCTAGGTGACAGCACAGAACCTTTATAACCTGGGTTAAAGGTAAAGCCAGGTTTTCATCCAAAGGCAAAGGACCTTTCCCCTCCCTAAAACAAAACAAAACAAAACAAAACAAAACAAAACAAAACTCTAATCAAATGCAAAAAAATTTTTGCATCCCCAGAGGCAGAAAACAGTACACAACCTGAGAGGAAAAATCACAAGGGATGGAACTGTTGGAATAAAAAGTTACTGATGTTGGGGGAAAATGGGCTAAATAATATTAAAACACTTCTCTTCCCCTTAACCTGGGTGATGATTGAATCTTAAGTACCACAATAGCAAGAATACATCATCTGGAAAAATAAAGAGTAGCATTAAGCTTGCCTATGACAAACACAAATGACATTCCCTTGTTGAAAGACTGCAGATACTAAAATTGTAAAATAAAAAATTAAGACCTAAGGATGAACTCATCAATGGAGTAAACGTTAATTTGCTTTCCCATTATGGGTATATGTCTAGAGTTTGGTGGCTCTGTGACTGAAAACTTCATATTCAAACCCCAATTGTTCAAATTACAACAACAACTTGGACTGCCACAAACCAGAGATTTTTAGGAGTCTGAAAAGAGGGCTGTAGGTTTTCCTACAACAATTACTTCTTCCAGACGATACACAACCTTGGCAGCAAACTACAGTCGCCTATCAGTTACCTAAAATGACCCACAATGAAAACCGGCCTTGGTTCTAAGTTCTTTCCTAAGGAAGAGTTCAGAGAGTCGTTTACAAATTCAGACAAGAAAGCAGCCCTGAGGACGCCACCGGTGGGCAGCACGCGAGCCGGGACCGGGTCTGGCCGCTCTCGGTCTCGTCCCCGCACCTGCCAGGCCCGCGCCCCGGCCCCAGCTCACCTTCACGGGCGGCGGCGGCCCCGGGAGGCTCTCCAGGGCCGCCCTCAGCCCCAGCGCGGCCGCGGCCCCGACCTCGGCGATGAGGTTGTGGCCGCAGGCATGGCCGAGGCCGGGCAGCGCGTCGTACTCGCAGAGGAAGCCCAGCTGCAGCGCGCGCACTTCAGCCCCCGGCGCGCGGGCCTCCCGAGGTGCCCATTCGGCGCGGAAGGCGGTGGGCAGCTGGTAGTGCGGCTGCACCGCCCAGGACGCGGCCGGCGGCTCCTGCTGGAAGAAACGCGTCAGCAGGCTATGGGCATGGTGCTCCTCGTAGGCCAGCTCGGGCTCGCTCCAGATGGCACGGCTCAGGGCGCCCAGCCGCTCGGCCGCCTCGTCGATGCGTTCCGCCGCGCGCAGCTTCAGGAGCTCCAGTGGCTCCAACTCAGAGACACCATCGCACGCGCCGCCCTGCACCGGGCGCTCCTCTCCGGGTCTCATCGCGTCCGAGATCGCTGGCTCTGGCGGGTGGCCACCCACTGCGGCTGCGCACACCGCGATCCGCCCTGACAACGCTCGAGCAGCAAGTAGGCTGCTATAGTTGAGTCCCGGGAGCCCCGCCCCCGAGCCCTGGGGCCCCGCCCCTTCACACTCCGGCCAGTTGGGGCCGAGCGAGGGGCGGCGGAGGGGCGGGGCGCTGTAAAGAAGGCGGGGCTCAGCATTTTACTAACTGGCTGAATTATGCTCCAAAATCATTACTTTTCCATTGTTCCTTATTTTCCCCAGAAGCAGAAGAAAACGGTTTTACTGATTAATAGCTATCAGAAACAGGACAACCAGAGCATTGTCCCTTAAAAAAAATGCCTCTTTTCTAGCCATATATTTTTAAAAAATGGAACATTGTGGGTTGTGGTGGTACATGCCTATAATCCCAAAATTTGGGAAACTGAGGCAGAAGATCAGGCTTGGGTGCATATCAAGATTCTATCTCAATAACAAAAGCAAAGCAAAAATGGTACGAGATAACTTCTATAAGATGGCATCAGTAGAAATGTTATACAAAGAGCACTATAGACTCCACACACTTAAGGTTTTGGTACCCTCCCTCCTTTCTTTTCCTTGAGGTTGTGCTAGTCAAAAGCTGCAACTGCTTTATACAGTTTTCTTCAACTTCCTGCTATCTAAAAGAGCACCTGTGTGTTGTCTATCTTAGAGTCATCTGAACAGAGTGGAACTCAGAATTTAAAATGTTTTTAAAAATCACAAGTTAAAGTATTTATAGCAATAGTCAACTACTTTGTTGATGTGGACACTTGTTTTCAGTAATATCAGCTTTGAAAGGGAACATGACTGGACTCATTTACAATTTTAATCAATGCTGAAATCAAGTAACATGATATGTACAGCTGGTGTTCACATTACAACTAGGTTTTAAATTATCCAGTGAAGAAATCAAGATGTCATACTCTTGTTTTTCTCCACAGCAAAACATGAAGTCTGAAAAGCTGTTGTTGATTATATGCCTATTAATAACACTATGAGATTTACTGAGATTTTCCTAATATTGAGGTTTGCCACATAGTAAAAGCTTCCACAAATTATTCCTATTCTATCTCTCTTTTTTTTTAGTTCATCTCAACTAGGTTAAGACAAAATATATTAATGTAAAAAGCCAAATGCATTTTTTGAAAAGAAGTCTTCAGGAAGATAAGATACAGGAAAACTATCAACTATTATTTTTACTGTTTTATATGTTAACATTTCCAGAATAAATGTTACATCCTGACATTATTGAAAATTAATGTGTTTCGCAGCACCCTAACTGAAACTCAGCCTTAAAGACAACCTTGTGGTATTAAATTCCCAGACCCCTTCAGATGTACTTAATAAACCTTCTCTGACAAAAGTTCTCCCCCATGTCTATGAGATTCAATGTTATCGTTCTTAGTCACTTGGCTAAAAGCCCAGGGTCCTATTAGAGTAAAAACAATGGGCGACATTGGTAGAGTGTTTCCTCTGTGCCAGGAGTTGTTCCAATTGCAGTACTATGAATGTATTTAATCCCCATCACAATCTATGAGGCTGTTAATGTGATTATTTATCTTCATTTTTCAAATGAGTATCTGAGATTACATAGCTAGTAAGTAGGGGATTTAGTGTTACAGGGAAGCCATACTCTAGGCACCACACTCAACTGCTAAGTAAACAGACATCCAAATTCATAAATGTATCTGCAGCTCATATTTTCATTTAAGACCCACAGTAATTGCTCATCCTCAATAAACTGTACTGTACCAACTCTCCCTGTTGACATCAGTAGAACCTATATTTGTTCTTATCAGATAGCAATAAACAGCAATAGAAAGGGAGTGCATATGATTTTTATATACAAGTTGCTATTTATATTACTTGTTATAGATTTAACAAAGCTGTCAGTTGATGTTACGGTTTGGATCTAAAATGATCCCCAAACACTCACGTGTTTGGAAGGTGACTATATTATCAAGGTATTCTATTTTCTTGCTGTTAGAAAGTAGGATTTGATTGGAACAGGCAGTTCCTGGGGGTATGACCTGAACAGGTGAATCTTCCTTGCTGTCTCCTCCCTTTGCTCTCTGCTTCTTGTCTGTCATGTGTTAAGCAGACTCTGCTGGCAGTTGGACTCTAGGCCATGTGTGTTATGCTCCAACAGAAAATTTATCTTCCTGTTGCTCATGAACTGACTTTGTGGGAGACTGAGATCAAGGGCAGTGGACTAATTAATCTGGTGGAGGAAATTTCAAACGTTCAGGCTGCATCATGGTTACTGCTTGCTACTTTTAATGAGATCTACTGTAAGAAACAGTGGGTGAAATGGGTGAATATAGATAGTTCTTTCTCACTTATAGTCTGGTTTTAAAATATAAAGATACTTCTTCCTTGGCTGCCAAAAACCAAATGTAAAACCCAGCTGCTATCACAACTGACTCAACATTGAAACGAGAAACTCATGACAAATTAGTGCTTTGGTAGAAAAATGTCCTTAATCATTAGAAAGAAGTGTTGGGCCAACGACCCGGGACCCTTCCTATCTCTCAGGAGCTATTCTTATTCCCCCTTCCTATTCCCCAATAAATTTTCCTACTCTTAAAAAAAAGATGAAAAATAAAAAACGAGAGAGAGGGAAGCTAAAAAAAGAGCAGCAAATTAAACAATAATGCTTATAAAATAAGAGGGCAATTTAAAAAGAAGAAGGTAATATTATTCATGGGTGAACTATCAGCTATACAGGAATATACTACATGTTATCTTGGCCTTCTGATTTAGATTTTCTTGTGATAAGAAACAATATGATTTGCTATGGTTTTTAATTTTTGAATTAAGATAAAAATAATAATAAAATTCCCAACAGACCAACAGTGCCTGCCTTACATGTCTTTTGAGAACCCAGAAAAAGGAATCAAATGAAAAAAAAAAATAAAGAAAATAGAGCAGAGCAAAAGTAACTGGAAACATGGAGGGGAAACGGAATAAATGGTGCTAAAATGCTTCGGCCCTTGGAAAGCCTGCAGATATTTCACCAGAAAATAAACAAACAATATTCAAAATATTGAACAAAAAAAGTATTTCCAAGAGTACATGAATCTTTTCAGTTTTATAATATTTGGAGTTTAGCCAGGCTTGATGGGACATGCTTATAGTCCTAATACTCAGAGGAAAAAAGGATTGTGAGTTCAAAATGTGGGCTCCTTAGTGAGTTTAAGGCCAGCCTGGAATAGTGCATGGCCAGTCCCTGTCTCAGAAGAGAAAGGAGGGAGGAAGACAGGTGAGGAGAGAAGAGGAGAAAAGAGGAGAAAGGAGAGGAGGAGGGGAGGGGAGGAAAGGACAAGAGAAGAAAAGAGAAAGAGAGAGAGCGAGAGCGCCTACTACAGGCGGGGCAGGGTGGGGAGGAAGGGAAGAAGGAAAGAGAATCTGGAGTAGGGTACTGACAGTTTTGCCCATCCAATAACAGAAAGCAGAAAACTAAGAGAGTGTAGCAGGTCAGCACAAAGGTGAATTTTGATTGGAACTGAAGAGACACGGAGGAATTTACACACTGTTTAGGAGTATTAACCGTGTCCAGACAATGCAAAACCTGTTGGGTGTTATTAAACAGGGAAAGTAAGAACAATATTTTTATTTTATGAGAATAAGCGATGACTCTGTGTAGGATGAATTGGAAACAGATGAGACTTAGGTCTGCAGTTGAAAGGTTCCCATAAAGTACAAAGATCCAGAAACACTGCATAGGCAGCAGTGCCCAGATTTGATATCTGCGGGTGCAGAAGCAGAGATAAAGAGGAAATCTGACCAAGGATTTTAGTGTCATAGTTGAAGGGTGGTAAAATCATTAAACATGACAGGGACCATGGGAGAGGGACTGGCGTGTTGACGGACAGGTGCAGAAGATGCAGAGAGACAGTGAATTCAGCCGTCTGAAAGGGAGTGGATGCACTCGTCCTAGATGACAAGGGCTCACAAGCCAAAGACAGTTTATCAGCTATGAATAATAGTTATACTCAGAGGAGAATTAAATAAGCCAAAGAATAAGTGACTTGGAAATATTAAAGCTGAGGAAGCAACTCTGGAAAACAAAAGCAAAGAGAATAAGCAAAAATACCTCGAAGGCCCCTGCTTCTATTGGATAAGGCTCTGTTTTCAAGTTCTGTGTACACTGTCTTAAGTGGCCACCACGCGCAGGCAGCTATTTTAAAGCGCTGATCTGGTCCTCAGTGACTAGAGGCTCCCTTTGGCTTCCTCCCTTCCTGCCAAGGAGATTAGTTGCTCTGCTCTGCATAACCATTCCTGGAAATGAGGACAGCAAGATTCTCTCGGGGACAGGCCTCTGACTTGCCCATTGTCCAACACAGCCTGTACACAACAACACTGCAGACACACGTAGTCCTGACTGCAGTGGACAAGAAACTTTTCCTACTGAGGTTACAGTTCAGGAAAATGAGTGGAGAGGTTTTACCGCTTAGTCACTCCTACGTGTGCTGTGTACACCTAGAGCCTGGGCCCCATGCAGTGCTTGAAGGTCTATCAAGAGATTCCTGTGTTGATTTCTCAAGCCATGTACACATCTTAACCTCTTGCACACTCTGGTTAATCACTATCTTTATTACTAATTTCTCAAACTTCCTAGTTGTTTTGACAGTACATACTTCTATGTTGCTAGTAGGAATGAATACTGTACATGGCACAGGATGCTTAAAATCCCGAAGGCGTTCTTCAGAAAAAAATTGTACAAATCATATGTTAAGCAGAATAGTAAATGGGCCTGGGGGCGTAGCTCAGTAGCAGGGTGGCTGCCTACCATGCTAAGGCCCTGCATTCAATTCCCAGAACCAAAATGAACAAACAAACAGAAGAAGAATCATTAATGGATAAAATATGTGTAGTTGAAAATAAATACATAAATATCTAGCAATTATAGGAATAATAGAAGACAAAGCAAGGTATGAAAAAGAAATTTCCAGCAAGCTCCATCAGGAAAAGTTACAATCTTCTTCTGCATCTAAAATGCCTTCCCTACAAAGGGAGAAACCAAATGAGGAATGAAGAGACGCTGGTAGAAACATGTAGCTGATCAGAAAAATTAGGAAAGGCAAGTTGTCACTTTTCTCAGGTAAGATGTAAAGATATTTACTGTTTGTAAATATGACATGAAATAAGCCTCTTATAACTAGTTAAATAGAAACCAGAGCAATACTGCAAGGCATGGGAAGAGTCTCAAACCTTCAGAATGCTGCACATTTTCTCCACAGCACTGCGATTTACAAGTGACAGCTATGGGGGACGCTAATCACGTGTAGGGATAACTCCTAGCTTATCTTAAGTAATGGTTTAAAACATTTAAATATTAGTGGCTGTGGGAGCAAATTATACTGAGTCTGCATTTTTAAAACATGCTCCTAAATTGTGTGCCCTCTGTGTTAATGTAGCAAAAAGAGACAGGGATCTTGTTCCAACCCTGACAATATATGGGTCTGCTCAGAACATTCAGGTTCTTACACACACTCTCTCTCTCTCTCTCTCTCTCTCTCTCTCTCTCTCTCTCTCTCTCGCTCTCTCTCTCTGATTAAGTTGATCATGGTGGGAAGAACAATTAATCAAGTCTGGGCTCTGATTTTTCTTCCCATTTTCCCTTGCCTCCTCTCCAACCTTGTCTTCATCCTCCTTCTCTTCTTCCCTCTCCTCCTTCTTATCCTCCTCCTCCTTCTTTTTAAGTTCTGGCATTGAATCAAGGGCCTTCAATTTGAGCTGTATCACCAGCTTTTTATTTTATTTTATTTTATTTTATTTTTTTGAGACAGATCTCACTAAATCGCTAAGTTGCCTAGGCTGGTTATGATCCTCCTGCCTCAGCTTCCCTTAGCTCTGAGATTACAGTACACCACCATCCTCAGCTTTATTTTCTTTTTTAGTGCATTTTTAAATTTCTGATTTTTAGATGTAATATACCATGGAAGTTTCTTCATCGATAAAATGGTAAAAATAAAATATATAATTATATCTCAATAGCTATCTCACCAGTAGGTTGTTGCAAAATTAAATGAAGTCATTACAGTAGTTTCCCTGAATCTTGGGTGTTACATTGCAAGATCCCCATTAAATGCCTGAAACCGGAGACAACTTCAAAACCTACATGTTTGTTCCTAGACTATACATATACACATGTGATAAGTTCATTATAAATTAGATCCAATAAGAAATCATGAATAATAGCAACAATAATAAAATAGAACACTGATACTAATAAATCCCTCACGCTATCATTTAGGTAACAAACTGTAAAAAAAAAAGACAAACCTTGGAGAAGGGGAGCTACTATATTGTAAACACTTGAAATAGTGCCTGGGATAGAATCACATAAGCATTCAAAAATATTAGCTGTTACTAGGATTATCAACATTATTTTTACATAATTTCACATAAAAATTAGAAAAATAAAATGTAAAAAAGTATTTGTGATTTATGATCCCATTCACATGACTATTGCCATAGAATAATAACTACTTGTTTTTCAGTGCTGGGGATGGATTTAGGCCCCACACATTTTAGGCGAGCATTCTGTCACTGAGCTAAGTCCTCAGCCCTGCAGTAATAGCTATTAACATTTTAGTGTTTTAGTATACATGCTTCCAAATTCTTTCTTTCTCCTCCACCTGCCCCCCATATTCTTACATGTGTGTGACAAGTGTACTCTTTGGCTAGGGCCCTGTTTTTCAGTTTCTTTTCATCTTTGGCCAAACTTAATGCATTAAATTCAAATATAGACCACTGTGATTATTATAGACGTTACAGAATAAAGGAAGATGAAGTATTATACCCTACTTCACACCATAAAATTTTATTACAATGCTTTAATCATTCTGCTTTTCCCCAATGCCCCTTTTCCTCTGGTAACTGCCCTTCTGTCTCCCCTGATCATCCACTTCCTCCACAGCCACTCCAACTGTGGCCCACCCCATGACTTCATTTAACATTAAGTACCTCCACAAAGACTAATGTTATCTCCAGATAATGTCTCATTAGGGCTTAGGGCATCAATCTATCAATTTAGAGGGGTACACAACTCAGTCCAAGGAAGAGGTCATCAGTTCCATTCCTGGTACCAAAAAAACCAAAAACCAGACAAACAAGAAACCCAAAAAATCCAAACTAGGAGTAGAGGTTGACCCAGTCATTCCCCTTCTGGGTATCTTCCCAGAAGAATTAAAAACATCATACCACAGTGACACATGTCACTGTTTATTGCAGCACCATTTGTAATAGCTAAATCTTAGGAACAACCCAAATGCCCATCAACCGAGGAATGAATAAGACAGATGTGACGTTTTATACAATGGAGTACTACTTAGCCATAAAGAAAGATAAACTGGATTTTTATAGGTAAATGGGTACAACTCGAGACCATGCTCATAAGTGAAATAAATCAGACCCCTATGTAAACAACACGTCGTCTCCCTAATATGGGAAGCTGAAAGAATAAATAAGATCCAAAATGTACAACAGATACTGTGAAATGGGAAGAAACTGTTCAAATAGAAAGAGAAATTGGGATGGAGGGAATGAGAAGAGAAGGAAGGGAAAAGCAAATATATATACGTGTGTCTGTGTGTGTGTGCGTGTGCATGTGTATGTATACAAGATAGTTAAGATAGTTATACTACTAATTTCTCTTAGTCCATTGAAAAGAAAAGTTTGTGCTATTATTGTTCGGACAATTAAATGCCTATATCTTATACTCTAAGTAGCTAATTTAAAGATAACAATGTGTAATGTATTAATCATTGTTACTCTATTATTTTGTTTTTCTCTTTAAAATAAAATTAAAAAAAGAAAAATTTGGGGACCTTGAAAAGATAGTGGATAGATAAGCAGCAGAATACAGAGGTTCCTGAGACAGACAACTCAGATGCCAGAATAACACAGCATGGGGAGGTCCGGACAGAGGGAGATGGATCCTCTCCACCCAGGAAGAAACTAAAGGGCAAAGAGCTGGTCAAACACGCAGCCCCAGGGCTACCACTGCAGCAGCTAAGGCTAGCGGCCACTGTGCCCTCCCCACAGCCTCCAAACTCGCCAGCCACTACTCACTCCTTGCTGAGCCGCCCAAATTCCTGCCGCTTCCACTGAGCTAACTGAACCCCCAACGCTGCCACTCGCTGGAACTGTGCTCAGGCTGAGGTCGGAGGTCAGCAAGCCCAATGGAGAATGGAGCAGGCGAGGGACCTGCACTGGCCCACAGTGAGTGCTGGGAATAAGACCCTCCCACGGGAAAGGGGCACCAGCTGGACGACATGCTGGAATCAGGCCAGACAGGCAGGAACAAGGAACAGCAGTGACTTCAGTCAATTGTTCCATCCCAGAACAGATTGGTGGCATATGCTTGGCCTGGGTCATGCCTCTGGCCGGGACCCAGTAAGTCGTCCCAGAGTGCACTCTAACGCAGTGAAGGCCCCCGCAGGTTGACTGACCTGAAGGGGAGGGGCCAGCATACCTCACCCCTGCTTGCACCTCAGTGACCAACAGCAAACTGAAGAGGGCAGAAAATCCTAGCCAGTGGGCTTCAGAAGAACCATAACCAACAAGGAAAGCCTCCACTATACACCTGTATGGAAGAAACCAAAAACATGACAAGAGAAAGAAACAAACAAAAAATCCCCAGCCCCCAGCCCTGAGAACATTGATCCAGGAGAGGTAAATACAAAAGAGACTGGGGGCAGCAAACATGCAATATCAGACACGGCATCAGTGGACATAAAGCAGAATCTTCGGGAACTCATAGCCGAGCTCAAAAGTGAAATATTTAATCAAGTAAAGCAAGATATAAGTAGATTAATAAAAGAAATGCTAAGCATCTTTCAAGAAGACAGACGGGCTTCCGGGAGAACATGGCAGACAGATAACAGCTACTACGGAGGCTCTCTGAAAGACTCGGCTCAGAAGTCAGGAAGGGTGCGGAGTAAGGAGACATAAGCCGGTGGAGATATGCTCTGCTGACTCAGGAACGAACTGAGCTGAGAGAAACCAACTTGGAATGCAGTCCTGGTGCTAAAATAGGAACAGAAAAGCCTCAGTGTGGAGGCTGGAGCCTGCGCCATTGGAAGCTGCGATTTGGGTTTCCCGCTGCGCGGCGGCTGCCTCTACGTCAGCTCGGCAAGGAGAGAGACGCGCGGAAGCTCTGAGAACGGGGGTCTGCGAACGGAGTCGAAAACAGGACGGGCAGGGAGGCGTGCACTGGCTTGTGGTGAGGTGAGTGAGAGAAACTGACACTCTACCACAGTTTGACTCCAGCAGAGGTCATTCTGGGCCCGGGCAATCCTGTGGGAGCAGGGCGCGGTGGCAACTTCAGCCACACATCCCCCTCTCAGGCGGGATTGGTGAGGGGTGCCTAGCCTGCGTGATGCTGCTGGCGGACCCAATGGGCTGGCCCAACCCAGATCCCAGAGCCTAACAGTGGCCGGGAGGGGCAGGCCCCGCGTAGGCTGCCTGGTCTGGAACTTCCTGGTGCGCTGCGGTGGGCGGGAACACCTAACCTGCGCAATTCGATCAGGCTGTGGCTGACAGGGAGGGAAGCTGAGCCTCCTATGTAAGCTTGCATATATAAGGAACAGAGAATATGGGAAGAGGCAGCAACAAGAAAGGCTCCTCGGCCCCCAATTCTGAGAAACAGGTAATAGCGGACACCGCACCAATAGACATAAAGCGCCATAAAGAGAGCCTCATAGATCAATTCAGGAATGAAGTTATCAATGACCTGAAGCTAGAAGTATGCAGAATAGTTAGAGAAATGCTAAGCACCACCCAAGAAAAAACAGATGGTGGAATGGAAGAACAGAAAAAAAGGGGAGAACTGTTTGATGGAGAAAACAGAGAAAGCATAGAATATGGGAAGCAGGTTCAAAGGGACTACCAAGAAACTAAGAAGTCTATCATAAACTGGCATAACAGTTTGAAAGAAACTAAGGACAGACTATCTGAACTGGAGGGCAGATTTGTAATATGGGAGAATGAAATGAAAAACTTCTTAAAAATAACAAAGAAACAGCAATAATACAAAGACAAGAAGATGATAAGAGGATCCATAACTTAAGGATTAAGAACATAAAAGAAGAAGTAGGGACACAAACAAATGAACTACAAAAGCTACTCACAGAAATAATCCAGGAGAATTTTCCTAATTTAGCAAAAGGTAAAGATACTCAGATGTATGAGGCATACAGGACCCCAGCTACCTACAACCCAAACAGAGCAACACCCAGACATATAATAATAAAAATTCCAGAAATTCAATACAAGAACAGAATATTAAAAGCTGTCAGAGACAAGAAACAGACTACTTACAAGGGAACACCCATCAAAATTACAGCAGATTTCTCTGCACAAACCATCAAATCACGAAGAGCGTGGGGGGAAATAATTCAAGCTTTGAAAGATAATAATCTCCAGCCAAGATTGAGATATCCTGCACAACTGTCCCTGGAAATTGATGGAAAAACAAGGTGCTTCCAGGATAAAGAGGAACTGGGGGAATTTGCAACCACCAATTCAACTCTACAGAGAGTATTGCAGGATATTCTAAAAAAAGAAAAATACAAAGAATCCAGAAATAGTGGCAGGGAGGCCACAACGAATGGAGCAGAGAACAAAATGAAGAAGACAAACTGACTGCTACTGACAGAAAAAGAGCTCAACAGAAATGAGGCAGAGAAGATTGGATGATAGGAACAGCTATTTTGGAGAAAATGACACCTTAATAGGTAATACAGATCTAGTATCATCTTGTTTTGAAGTCTCATCAAGCTTTTGTTCTTCTGTCTCCATTGGTCTAAATAGGTTGTATCTTATTGGATTTTATTATCTACGATAGTATAAGCAAAAACCTTTTAAAGACAAGGAGATTATACAGAAACCATTGTTCATTTTCTGTTAGTCGATTCTAAATACCCTGTAATGCTGTCATTCTCTTAAATGGTTTTACATTGTTTTGATATATTTAATGCTACAGTATACGAAGTTGTACTCAAGGATTTCAAGGAAAGAGACAATATGGTAACTACTTTTAGGTCAGGATTATCTGGTGGTGAAACACTATTCTGCTTAAATGGTTATGTTTTGATCTGCGCTGTTTTGCTGTTATGCCCTCTTTTATCTCAATCTCCACTCCATTATTTACTTTTTTATTTTTATCCTTTTAATTAAGGGAAAAATAAATAAAAATAGCAGGATATATTATAGTAACCCACTTTGACTTTCCATTATCTCGATTTAAAGCCCTGTATTACTCTCACCATCTTGTTTTTGACTGATATTCCCCTATTCTGTTTTGCTGGATAGTATCAGGTTCGAAAGTTTAGGCAACAGCTGTGAAGATAATGAGATTCATTAAGACGCCCATTCTCATTGACTTTTATCTACTTTTGAAGACCTACAATGTCTCCAATGTTTTGGTTTTGTCGGTTTTGTTCTTTACTGTTTTGTTCAATTTTATTATAACTAATGATATAGGCAATTCTATTAGAGATAGCGGGAGGCATTATGGTAACGACTGTTGATCACCTTGTATTATGTTTTTACATTATCTATTATGTCCACCCTTTTGATTTGATTGACTCTGTTCTGTTATGTCACATTTGGTTTTACTCTCTTCCAAAAAAGTAATAAGAACCGTGGGAGCAATGAAACCCAAAATGTGTAATAGTCATTGTACAAAAGAGAGGAAAAGAAAGTGCTCTAAACTATATAACTGCATGTATATTTAAGTGTATAAGATAGAAAATGATATCACTGAGTTTTATTGGATCATTGAACAGAACTGTTTGCAGTATCATTGTTGGAATGTCCACTTTACAAGCTTTAATTTTGTGACTTGAACAATTATTTCTAAGATGACAAAATGTAATCCATTAACTAGTGATTTCCTACTGTTCATTTTTTTCTGTAAATCTGTATAACTTGTACCCTTTCTCTGCTTTTTTTTTCTCCTTAAATAAAATTTAAAAAAAAAAAGAAGACAGACGGAAGAATGGAGGAGCACAAGAAAAGGAGAGAAACGTTCGATGAAGAATGCAGAGAAAACCTAGAATACATGAAGCAGATTCAGAGATTACCAGTAAATTAAAAACTCCATTGAAAGCTGGCAAAACTGCTTGAAAGAAACTAAGGATAGACTACCAAAACTTGAAGACAGGTTTGCAATGTGTGGTCATGAAAGGAAAAATCTCTTAAAAATAACAAAGAAACACACGCAATAACAATACAAAAGCTAGAACATGACAAAAGGATCTATAATTTAAGACTAAAGAATGTGAATGAAGAAGCAGGAGTAAAAACAAAGGAAATACAAAAGCTAATCACAGAAATAATTAAGGAAAACTTCCCAAGCATAGGAAAAGGAAATGATACTCAGATATATGAGGCATACAGAACTCCAGCCACCTACAACCAAAACAGAGCTACACCCAGACATATAATAATCAAGATCCCAGAAATTCAATATAAGAACAGAATATTAAAAGCTGTCAGAGAAAAGAAACAGATCACCTATAAAGAAAAATCCATCAAAATCACAGCAGACTGCTCGACACAGACCATCAAATCAAGAAGAGCTTGGAGCAAAGTATTCCAAGCCCTGAAAGAAAATAACCTCCAGTCCAGATTGATGCCCCCTAAAAAACTGTCTCTAAAAATTAATGGAGAAACAAGATGCTTTCAAAACAAACAAGAATTGGGGGAATTCGTGACCACCAATCCAACCCTACAGAGAATACTGAAGGACATTCTAGAGAGAGAAAAAAGTACCAGGATTTCAGGAACAGTGGCAGAGAGGCCTCAATGAATGGAGCAGACAGTGGAATGAAGGAGAAAAGCAGACAACTAATGGCAGAAAAATAGCACAACAGAAATGAGGCAGAAAAGGTTGGCTATAATCTCTAATATAGATGGCCTGGATACACTAAAAAAAAAAAGAGAAGAAAAAAAGAAACACAGGCAGAGTAGAACAGGAGGCAGGGTCCACTGAGATGCTCTATATAAAAAATATAATTAACCTGAAAAAAGGTTTACAGACCGAAAATCAAATATGAGAAAACAATGCTCTGTGACAGGGAACCAGAGAGTAATAGGGGCAACTTGATCAGCACCTGCAGATAGGTTGGAAAGACAGGTTTTGCAGGTAAAGGAATGCAACTGGAGATCAAGTCCAGGAGGGAGAAGGTTCAGAATCACTTAGGTAAATAGCAGGTTACCCCCTCAATCTAAAAACTGAGGAAGTTGCTGGGACCCAGAAATGCACAGTGCACCCTGTGGAGTGAAAGGGGAGGAATAATATAAAAAAGAAGGCAGAGGATATCGATATTGTTAATAGTGTATCGGGATTTAAAATCCACATTACTTACACCATTCTCTTTAGATAGATTATATTCTATCCCAGTTTGTCTACTTGCACTAGATCTGAGGGCACAGGCAGCTACCCCAAAAATAGCAGGATAAATAGTATGGTAATCATCCTTAATTCCCTATTAACTTAGTCTGAAGTCTTGTATAACTTTTACTGTTTTACCATGACTGATCTTAGTTGAATCTGGTTTGTTAGATTGCTGTTTGGTATCGACAGAGTTTATTTAAAACTGTTACAATTAATAGTATCAAGTCTGAGAGTATAAGCAACTACACTGAAGATGACAAGATTCACTACAATACCAATTTTGGTTTGCTTATTACCTGCTTTTGAAGTTTTATACTATCTACAATGTTTTGTTTTTATTAATTTTGTTATGTACTGCTATGTTCAGTTATACTATGCCTGATGATATAGACAATTCTATTGACAATAACAAGAGACAACACAGTAACCATTGTGGATCACCTGTACTGTGGTTTTATATGACTTTTTTGTTTCATGTGTTTATTGGAATATGTTTTGTTTTGTCTTGCTCTTTTTGTTTCTCCCTCTAATATAGGAAGGATAGAAATACATGTAGAGACTCATGCATGCGTAGATTCTATAAACAGTTTATGAGAACTTATAACGCATGATGAAATGAACAACTACTTTGAAGAAAAAGAGACACTACAGTCCCCCGTGCTGATCCCGTAGTGTCATGATGTGAAATCCAGCAATACTATTATTCTTTGTTCAGAGTGATTTTAGCCTGCTTTGGTTTGTTTAATCTTAACATACATGAAGATATGGATAAGTATATGTATGTTTAAGTGTATAGGATTGTTAACCATATTATTAAGTTTTTGTTGGATAGTTGAACAGAACTGTTTGCAGTCTCGCTGTTTGAATGTCCACTTTGTATGCTTCATTTTTGTAACTTTAACAACTATTTGTAAGAGGACAGTATGTAATTATCAGCTAGGGATTTCTTACTGTTTATTTTTCCTTTGAAGATATGTATTATTTCTACCCTTTTTCTGTTTTGTTTATTCTTTCTTTAAATAAAATAAATTTTTAAAAATTGAATATTTTTATTAGAAACAATGACACTAGAATTGAAAGTATTCATTTCCCCTCAAGAGATTATTCTTTAATATTTCAGTAATCAAATGTAAATCAGATTAAAATATGAATGAAGGCTGGGGATATAACTCTGCAGCGTAAGCGCCTGCCTGGCAAGCGTGAGGTCGTGAGTTCGTTCCCTGGTACAAAAAAAAAAAAAAAAAAATAGAGCGGTGGTCATCCCTTCTTGTTTTGAATTCATAGATGAATGTGAAAAAAAATATGAATCAGATTAATGTACTTGACAACCCCATTTGCTTTCATATTTTTTTATTTAAACTAACAAAATTTCATTGTAATTATCAACCACTTCATTAAAATTGGCTTCCCTTGTTATGAATTAATTTGGCCTTGGAGAAAAGTTTATTCAGGTGAGTTATAATAGAACTATTTAATTCAGTATTTTTATTTTTCAGGCTAATGTGGTAGCTAGCCATTTTTTTAAAAACCTATAACATCCTTTTATTATCATTTCAGTTTGTCCACTAATTCATACCAAATCACAACAACTGGTGATGTCATTGTTTTCCTTGTCTAAAATTAGTTTATAATTTTATCCATGTGGTGTTGTTGCCAAACGAGCAGCCGCACTTCTTTTTCCAGGAACACCTTCTCCAAGAAGTGCTCTGCAGCCACGAGGACATGCAGTATGGACCTATCGTGTTGCTTTGAAACCTGCAAGCCCAGATTGGACGGTAGCCATCAGTATCAGCATTTAGCACAGGACAAAGCTAAATGTAGAACAGTGCGCCTAACTGAATGGAAGTGACCTAAAATTATATTCCAAGTAAGAATAAAGGGTTTCAATTCAAACTAATTACACTGGAATGTTCACCAGTTTATATTCATCTAGAGAAAAGTCAAATCTTGGGGCAAAGAAGGGGGGTATAGAGAAGTGAGAAGAATTAAGATGTGTTACATACACAACTCCCCATCCTGAATGAAAAATCACTATGTATTGCAAACATTTACTAATACAAATTTAAAATACAAATTTAAAAATTAAAAAAGATTCTGTAGCACATTAATATTAGAGTACTAAGCTACCAAAAGAAATTAATAATACAATGTATATGAGAAAGAGGAAAAGATGGGAAATAGAGTACACAGCAGTAAAATTTATACATTGCTGCAGCCTGGTCTAAATGATTTTATTTAAAAAATTAAGTGTGCAATAAACATAATAAAACACAAGAAAACATAAGAAAATACAATATGCATTTGAGGGTAGGGATTACACATTGAAAATAAAATTTAAGAAAACAAGCTAAGAGGGCTGGGGTTAGCTCAGTGGTAGCACACTTACTTAGAAAGCACAAAGCCCTGAGTTTGACCTACAACACCAAAGGAAGAAGATAAAAAAATAAAGGAAATAAATAGGTCAAAATTGTAATTCATAACTAACATTTTCTGCTTTCAATTAATGGCTAAATAAATTTCACAAAAGATCATATTAAAGGCAAGCTTCTACACTGCAGAGTAGGTTAGTGTTGTCTGCAAATCTAAAATTCTTTTCTCCCCAATCTAAGATAATTTGATCTTCAAATATTGAAGGCTGTGAAATAAACAAATTTTACATTTATACCTAGTTTTTTATTTCTGTATAAGCAAGCAAATAATACCATTTTACAGAGAATCAGTATAACGAATCCATGATTTGACAAGTGGACAAACCTCTAGAAACTGAAAAATGTTAAAAGCTGGCAAAATAATCTAGAAGTACACTAAATGGTCTAAAAGTTAAAAACACTATCCTAAAGCATTCTACCCTTAGCCATCCGAGCCTTCCAACATTCACACCAAAAAATTATCCAGTATTACTTTCTTTGGCTTCCACTTTCTTATGGTAAAACACAGTGAAGAAAAGGTTGATCATGAGAGAAACTATTCTCAATAAATTCGTAAGATTACATAATACATGTACAAAATACGGAAAATTTCAAGAACAAGCAGGCCATGTGGAATGGCCTGAGTGTGTCTACCTGTGCCAGAGGGCAGGGTGACCCCTCCTTCCCAAGCAAGGGCAAGACCATCCACCAACTTGGAGCCAGCTGTATATTTTGCTTCCCTTTGGCACGAGGCAGCAGAGATGAGGACTAACCCACCAGCCATCGTTCTGGACGATGACAGCACCTGAGCAGGGAAGAGGGCAACTAGGTGCCATGACTGTCGATGTTAGGAACAACAGTCCACTCGCACACTCGCCCTGCAGCCTGAGTCCAGCAGAGATCAGAGGACGGCTTGCATTTCCCAGCTACCAACAGGATCAGGGACGCCCTTGGGTGGGATTGTAAGGAGTCAGGAGAGGACACCAGAGGAGCCGCGGGTGCAGGAAGGGGGCCTCAAAACCCGATGGCCTAAATGTTGACAGAGAAAATGCCTGGATTCCAAGACTGACTATCTTGGACAGATATCATTCATTCAAAAACACAGGAATTTTTTCTTTTGACTCAGTCTTTTTAAATTTTTGTACTTTTAATTATTTTTATTTTACTCTCATTGCATTTTGTACAAGTTTGTGGGGTTTTTCTTTTCCCATCCCCTCATTTACTTTCTTCTCTTTCTTTTTTTTTTCTTGTAACTATTTTCTTTTTCTTATTATCCTTCTTTGATTTCCTGTATTTTTCTCTTTGTCTTTTTCTTCTGTTTCATTGTTTTTTTCCTGTTCATTCTTTTTTACAACTACTGTCTAGTTCACTGATCTTTCTTTTACTCTTCAATATGACCACTTACCTCACTTTTCTCTCCTCCTTCTCATACCCATTGATTAATTTCTCAAATGTTTTTCTTTTTTCCTTCTCTGATTCCCCACTTCCTTTTTTATGAGTAAGTGCGATACCTTAGTGGTCCTTAGGGTTTGTGCTGATATGATAATCTGTGCTGGTTTTACTACTATAGCCAAGATGATGTACCTGTTACTATTAATTGGGTTTTTTTGGGATGCCAATATCTGGATTTCCTCGGAGTCATTAACAATATTCCTGAAAAAGTGGATACTGGGTCAAATACACCACAGTGTCCCATGCCAAGTAAGCAGAGGTGCTGGATCCTGAGACAGAGGGAAAGGCTAACAGTAGCCATGCCCAGAAGACGCCAGTGAAAAGCAGACATAAACTGAAGAGATCTCCACACTAGCAACAAAGCTCTCCACTACAGTTAGCCCACAAACCTAAAAAACAAACAGGAACATGAGAAGACAAACCAACAAAATGCCTTTAAAAACTACCAACTCCCCCGAAGTTGATCCCTGGGGTATCAAAAGGGAGAGAACTAACAGGTACACATCCAGATGATTTGAAATGATATCAGAGGAGAAAATAAAACATTTCACGAAGTCATTTGGCAAGTTCATAAAAAATATAAATAATAAGATATTACTAATAAATAGATAGGACCAGGGATACAGCTCAGCACCATGGTGCCTACCTGGCAAGCGTGAGGTTGTGAGTTTGATTTCCTGGTACCAACAACAATGACAACAAAAGCCAGCCGGACTAAACAAAATGATGCAAATAATGACCAGTGGAAAGAAATTATGTTAAAGAAAAGAAGGCAGCAGTGAAAAATCTTGAAGACAAGAAGGTTAAGCTGAAAGAGAATCTGAGCTAGAAGAAAAGAGGAAAATGATTGAAAATGAAAAGCTAACCATGGAACTGAGGGGGAGGCTATGGAAGTGAAATCCATCATGACCAGGAAGTTGCAGAGGCGACCAAATGATCCTGTCCCCATCTGAGACAAGAGAAGAAAACCTGCTCCTGCTCAGCTAAACTATGGTAGCTGATGGCCAGATTATGGAGGATCTTAGAACATTAAATAAGCCTAAGTCACCCAAGAGACCAGCAACCCCATCTTCTCCCACACACAAAGAGCCTGCCCCACCTGCAGAATCTCCAGCCCAGAGCTTAGAGGCTCAGATAGAAGATGGCAAGCTGTACAAAGATAAAAGATTGTACCAAAAGAGCCAGGCCATCTATCTGGAACCAGAGGATAACTAGAATCTGAGCTGCATCAGCCAATGAGATCTAAAGTGACAGCACCAAGATGAGGATCTATCTGGGCCAGCTTCAGTGTGGGCTCTTTGTAATCAATCCACCGGCGGTCAGCGGCTTGACTTTCTACAGTGTCCCTCTTCCCTTTATCCCTTTTCTGGAGTGGTTTTTATTTTTGTTTTGTTTTCTTCTTACTAGAAAATTTTTAACCTACTGGGAACAACTACTTGGCCTTGGAAATGGAGAACCCTGTTGTGGATTCTGCAAGGCACTTTTGTGGCTGGTTACTTCTGGCTTTCTGTCATCCTTTCCCGCCCTGACTTCTAGACATCCGTCAGCGATGGACTCTTACTTCAAGAGTGTTGGGAGTTTGTCTTATTTTATTTCTTTATTGTTTGCTCACACCCTTTTTAAAAACTGCCTTTGAATTTGAAGGGATAGGTATTTTTGTTAATTATCTTTAGGTCTTTCTCCCATGAAAAAGAGCAGAAAGGAATACACTCTACAGTACATTTTCATGTTTTGCATTTAATTAGTGGATCACATAGCTGCTTCCCTTGTCAAGCCCAATTCACTGTTTTCCCAGAAGCTTGGGACAGAGGTCCTAGCAGAAGATGAATTCTCCTGGCTGACAGCTGTCTCGGAGAAATAAATGCCTGTATAACATCTGGCACATGCTACCCATTCCCCTGGCTGAACGACAGAAGACTGTGCACTGCAGTAAATGGAGCTGGGGTAGGGGACATTTCATATTCATAATGTGCTGAAGTTACCACGTTTTAAATGTTATTTAATGCAGGTGATTTAGTCAGACACACTTACTCTAGCTCAGGCTGGAACAAGAAGTGCTAATTGCAGAAGTTTCACTTGTAATTTCTTTTCCTCCCTAGTTCCCAAGTAGCTAACAGTAGCACCTGTCACAGGCTGATCATCTGGGTTCTCTCATAGGCAGGGCAGGGAGATTGATAGT